GCCTCTCAAATACACAGCTTGCGCCGATGACCTCATCGTTTTCGATTCTCTCGTCCCAACCCAAAATGTCTGAAGGCACCATTAGCCCTTCGAAATGCTGCATACTCGATCTAGTCATCAGTTGAAAATTAAAAAGAAATGTTCTCACCCCAACTATCTTCTATATTGACAATGTTTCTGTTCCGGTTCTAAAAGTCAATTCTGATTTCACATTCTTGGGAATCACCTTTTACTAAAATGCTCGATTAAGACAAGAACCCCTCTAAAGACCCTTGACACATTCCTATACAACATTCAGTCAGGGTCTCTTAAACTCCAAAAACGACTGCATATAATACGACAAGCTCTCATTCTGAAACTATTGTACAACCTAACCCTGGGGACTGTTCACAAGAAAATGCCAAAAAACTTGGACTATAAGATCCTAGCCTCCATCATTGTTTACCTATTGTTTAATAGGTACGTTTTCGCTCGAACACACCAGTTGCATGCCTGCACTTGCCCGTCAGCTCCGGAGGACTTGGTATTCCTCATCTGTCTACTTTAATTCCACTCCACCGCCTACAATAGAAGTGCATCTAATGGGTTGGCACCTCCCCACACTGTGAACCTTTCTTAAGCGTTTGAAACCTTCCTATTCCTTCACACAACCTAAACGAAGCAAAACAAAGCATGATCCAACAACTGTACAGAATCCTTGATGGCAAGCGCCTTAGGGATGCTGCGTGAAGTAAAGAATCTAACCATTAGATTTACAACCCATAACGTATCTTCTAGAGATTATACATCCCGGTCAGGAAGCCTACCGAATTTTCAAGTCGAACGAGCACGTAGCTCTAGAGCAACCGGAAACATCCACTACCAAAGCTGCTGCACGTACTCAGGAATTCTACCACATATTCTATGACACCGTTCAGTTACGTATGATATTACATGCATGTCATTGACAAACCCATCGTTGACAAACTAAGAAGCATCTACCCATCCAAATCAACATAGAACCAAGCATTACTGCGCAACGGTCCGAGTTGCCACAACTTATAACACTGCATCAAGTAAAGAGGCAGTGAAGCTGAAAATGGAGATAAAAAATCCAGTCAAAAGAAATATAAAGTACTACTACTACTAATACTACTGAAGCCCTATGTTCCATCAGGAACCCAAGGGAAAAATAATAAATAATGAATAATAAAAGAGAGAAAAGAAGAATTAGAAAATGGTGAGATTCGGTATAACGTTAAGATGAGGATAATGCGTGTATACATCTTTGTTCCTGACATCGGTTCTCAGCCATATCACCTAGAGTCTCCAACCACTGGTTCCTCTTGTCCCACGGACACCAACCGGCAAGTCTATATCGCCCTACATGGCTCAAACCAACAGCCAACGACTTCATACATTGATGACATGTTTTGGCCCGGCCGCCTCGGGCCTCTATCCAGCCTGAACCTACTTCGGCCAACATTGCGTGACAAGGAGATCGGTGACTAGGCATACGTAATACGTGTCCCAACCACCTCAGTCGATGAAGGTTCACAACCTCGCCAACTGACTTACTTCTTCTCTCTAAAACTGTACACCTGACTTCTGTGTTACCCACGTGGTGACACCACGGAATACTGCCTATACTACGAAGGCAACGGTGGTCAAACACCTGAGCCCTTCTCATATCTTTCATCTTCAATGGTGATGTTTCACAGCTATACAGTAGAACAGACCGGACTGCTGTGCAGTACACGCGATTCTTAATCGACAACTGGATATCACAGCGGCGGCACAGAGGGCGTAAGTTGGAAAACGCCAGCCAAGCCTTTTGTATGCGTGCAGAGATTTCGTTGACCACTGATCCATCAGGGCTGATCCTACTTACCAGGTAAGTGAACTGGTCAATACACTCAACCACTACACTCTCCATTGTTAGCCGAGGCACCATTGAAGACCAACCATGGAGCAACAACTTGCATTTCGGTGGTGAGAAATGGATCCCAAACATTCTCAAATTGTCACTAAGTGTCTAGAAGACAGTGTGTCTTGTCGGTGTCTTCACTTAACATGACTATTTGATCTGCGTATTCTAGGTCTAACAAAAATTCTCTTGCTATTAGGCCAACGTCTGTGTAGTCACGTGACGAGAGGGAGACCTCCGTAAGAATATTTATGATAGAAATGAATAGGAATGGAGATAGTGGGTAGCCTTGATGGACACTACGCGACGAGCGCAGCTTCTCGGACATCTCATCATAGGCTCTAACACACCCACAAGTGTTCGAATAGAGAGCTTTCAATAAGGTGATGTATCTAATTAGCACGCCTATCAGTGAGAGGCATTGCCATAAAACTTCTCGATCAACGAACCTGAATGTTGCCTTCTGATCGAGAAATACAAACTAAGAAGCAAGGATAATGAACCATTTATGGGACCTCTTATACTCTGCGGGGAATCTGTGCGGGATAGAATCGCATACATCATTTACGTCGCCACTTACAATGGCTTCAACTTGGACAGAAACTGTTTGTTGCGAATCTCTAAATATGGCAACGTGTTCACTTGTGCTACGATCCTTTGTCACTTTGACCTTGATTGAAGTAGGATGATCAATGGGAAACTGGTGTACAAATCCTATGGTTAACACCAACATTTTTCCCAGGTGAGTAGTATTTCAACAGCCCAACTGTCACTTTGGCTGGGTGGTTTCCAATAGAAATCCTATTGAGAGCATAGGTGAGCAGCTGAAAAGCTTCCCAGTTATAAGAAATGTCTAGGTGGACCATGCAATTTGTACATCATTTGCAGACTGACCGTCCTACTTTAAAAGTCGCGACCAATGCGTCAGTGAATCAGATTTAGGTGAACTGAAAAAGGTTGCTCTGAGAGCTGGATTTTTTGAGTTCAACGCTGATAAACTCAGTCATAAACGAGAGGAACTGCTGCAGGTTTTTTAGATTACAATGATCTGACTGGCTGGTGAAACCTACAGATAAACCAGATTGGTTTCTAACTACTCAAGTTGTTTAGTAGTATATTTCAATTTGACTGTTTAACCTTTCTTACCTGTTTTATTATTCACTTTGAGGGTTTGTAGGGGTTTGTTGATTTCAGGTTGGTATTCCGCATAGACTGACATCAGTCGGAGGAACACTGGAAACCTGGAAGCACTGGACAGCTGTTTCGTCCCAATCGTACATGACTCCTCAGCAGTGCGCACTCATTACCCCGTCCCACCAGGGATTCGGCCTAGGACCTTCAGGTTCCGTGACCAGCACGTTACCATTGAGCCACTGGGTCAGTCAGTTCATGATATATCATGGCGTCCATCCTCACGTCCAATTAGTCATCAGTGAGAGCTATATCGTTCCGACCCAGTGACCTTGTTGTCCTCCCAACAATTTTCTATGACCTTCTTTTCACTTTCTAGTCATAGTTAACTTGTAACTCCGGAGACAAAGACCTTGTGCCAACTCATTAACCAACAATGGACATTTGTCTAGATGCATAACTCTTGGAAATTTTCTGTGGAGAAGAAAAGTTTCTTCTCTGATTTATCATTGGCTAAGGGTTAAGCTAAAGAGGAAAATTAAAATATGATGCCTTTCATCCTACTACTTCTCAAGTCAACTAGTGAGGTGATGAACCACTATCTTTTGAAGAAAACAATATGCAGGAAACATCAAACAACTGTTAGAAGAAAATAGTTTCTGTAATTCGCAAGTAGTAGGAGATACGATTGAGGTTAACAAGCAGAAAATGGCTGTTGCACAAATAAATGAAACTTTTTAAGGTTTGCATGCACCAATGTCAGTCAGGATGATGGTCACCAGTTTCTGAAGGTAAAAAACTATCTAATATCATCTCAATGAAGTTTGTGCAAACTGATATATGTTTGTATTCGAGATGATGTGGTAGTTGAATTCTATTCTTTATGCCTACCATGTTGTCATTAATACATCAGTTCGGTGCACTGAACCTATCTGAATAATGAAACCCTTCCTTTCAATTTCACATTACCGTCTGCAATAAGAACATAAAATGTTATAAGTAGCTCCATTTATTTAATTGTCCCTCTCTTTTTCGCTTCATACGCCAAACAAAATCCCAAGTCCTGAACTGACTACTTTGTTCATGGCCTTGAAAATGTGAAAGTCAAACTTTTGAATGGAATTCGTCTCATTTGGTTGATATACATTTCGGTTCATGAATAAGTCTTCCGCCTTTCTTATATGGTCATTTTTATCCCTGACTTCTGTGTTTTGACCTTCGTCATCTGGAACTACGACCATGTTCTAATAATTCTTCAGTTTCTAAGCATTATTTGTTCTTCACTGGTTAGTTGAGTACAGTTTTACTTCCATCTGGTCAGATGTTTGATTACTTGTCGTATTACCTGTTGTGTCTCATCCTTTAATACTGAAATTTTTGGTGATGACTGTACGGATAAGAAGAATTCCGGTCTCGAAATGTCTCTTGTTTGATAATTTAATCCTTTTTAAAGGTGGAGTTCCTTAGACTTCTTTCGAGGTTGTTTAAAAAAAATTGACTACAAAGTCATTTACTTCTTCCCCTTCTGATGCTTATGGTTATGAAATGCTGAAGAGCTTCTTGCGAAAGATGTCTCTTCTTTATTCTTTATGACGTCTGCTAGATTTCTTAATCGCAGTCGTAAAATGTTCTGTTGTGATTGTTCTCTCTCTCTCTCCACTGTTTCCTAGCCAATTGGACAGTCGACAGGTGATCTGTATCTGATACTAGCTGGCACAATATACTGACAAACTTCAGGATAAGTTTGCACTCATGATATCGTCTAGAATGACAAGGAAAGCTTCACGATTAAACCTTCCTTCTCAGAGGACTTAACACCATCAACAAGCCCCAAGTTTTCTCATTCACCATAAGGACTTTAACTGGTTTATGATACAACAGTATTGTAGTTCTACTTACGACGAAAATAACCTGTCTTTGATCTTATCTATTCTCTTTGAAATTCTTTCATTTCATTCTACAGAAAAATACTTTAACAATAGAAATATCACTTGTTGTTGGTGGTGCACAAGCTGCTCGTCAACTTGTGACTTTAATCAAAAGTGTCCTTATTCAAAGAAATTGGCAAAATCATGAAAGACGTATTACATTTACCACAGCACCATCTACAATGAAATCAATAACTTCATCAATATCTACACCAGTATCATATTCAGTCAAGAATAAAGATGGTATATCATCTTTGAATACTGACAATACTATTAACTGTTATCTCAGACAGATCAATTTACACTTACTGGTAGATTATCAAGCTTCAAAAAGTCTCAGGGTTTTGTTTAAAACTTGGAATATCCTCAATATGAATGTGTACTATTATCAACTGGAAGACTATATGGTAAATACTAATTGGTTGATATATATTCTTTGTTGATATTCATTTTGTAATTGATTGTTTTAGATTACTTCTGTCATTGACGTGTACTGTGTTCATTAAAAAAACAGGCTTCATTTTCTAAGTAGTAAGTAGCGCACATTGTGTTGTTTTTCACAAGTAAACAGTAGCCGATAGTCTCATACACAGGTTTCCAGTGATATGTACTGTATACTGTCTCAGTAATTGATGCTGGCTTCAAAGAAGAATAATCTATAAGATAAACTTAACTGAAATAGTTCTTCTAAAGCTGTTTATAGATACTTGCACAAGCGGTACTCATTTGGTTTAGTAGATAACACTTAGGCGTTTGGAATGGTGGGTACTAGTTTCGAATACTACTGGAAACACCTTCTTTCATTGTGGTTAATGGCACTTAAAGTCTCGAATAGGAAGAAATGTGCGTACTTGATTCAGATGTTGGCTACCGAATAGACTACAGTGTTGTTCTAAAGCTCTTCAACAAATCGCAAAAAACATTATTATATTCTTGGTTGTATTGCGTTCTCTGAGCTCAGAGAACACAATGCAACCAAGACCATCCACCTGAGATACAAATATTTTCCACGCTTTATGCTGAGTGGAGTGGAGTAGATCTTCACACTGGTTTCAGGTGAATGAAGGCTGGCCTGTCTTGCTGTTTTTCCAATGCTGTCTGCTTTTGACGTCTTCGTCTGTGTTTGTGCCGCCTGTAGTTGAAACAGTGCTGACTACCTAGATTGGTGAAAGAGACAACCTCCTCTAAGTTCCTCCCATTGATCATGATTGGAAATTGTTGTTGTTGTTATTGTTGGTGGTGGTGGTGGTGATGGATGTGGTAGTTGGGTAGCTTCATCACCTCTGTCTTCTCCACATTCACTTCAAGTCCCGTCTTCACTACTCTGCCACATCTGTCAACCTGTTAGCTTTCCCATGTACATCTTCAAGTTTGTGTGATATCAGACACACGTCACCGGCAAAATCCAAATCTCCTATGATGTTTTCCCTGGTCCAGCGCATACTCCTCTATTCACTCCCCACTGTTTGTTGCATGATCCAGTCCAGTCCAGTCCAGTCGACCACAATCATGAATATCATGGGTGATAGTAGGCGACAACTTTGTCTTACTCTTGTCTTCATTTGAAGGGTATCACTGAGTTGAGCCTCCCATTGTGAATTACTTGTCATGTGGCGTCTTCATATAGTTGTTGAATGAGGTTGATAGAGGTTTGTGGTATTAAAACCGTAGTGTTGAAGCAGGTGCTTATCAAATTACTTGTCGGTCGACCCTGTGGAAGACTTTTTCAAAATCGATGAAGTTGAGTTGAGGTAGAGGGTTGGCTGCTATTCTATACTCTGTTCTATGATGATGAGAAGCGTTGCAACTTGGTCCGCATATGATTTCTTCTTCCCGAAGCCAGGCAGTTCCGGTCGTAATTTTGAATCCAGCACGGCGTTTAGTCTCTCCAGGATGATGTGGCATATGATTTCTTCCAGACCTTCTGCAATAGTGGTGTCAGTATGTCCGGTGTTGTCCCTGTATCTGTTCTCAGTACTTCTGGCGGGATACCATCTGGTCCTGCTGCTTCCCGCATTTCAGTAGCTTTATGGCTTTCAGGACTTCGAATTTCGTAGGAGGTCTAGCGTTCACTGGTAGTTCTGTGGCTGCTGGTGGTATTTCTGGAAGAAGTTCAGAGCTTTTTGAAGTGGTCATATTACTTATAAAAGTTTGCAAGTAGATAATCATCCAATTAAAGTTATCACAAAGTATACCAATAATATTCATCAGTTTGTTTAAAATGAATCTAACAATGAGAAACAGTTATTCAAAATAACCTTTGACCTATGACAAAATAAATTTTTAAGTGAAATTCCTCTTCTTAACCGGTTTTTAAAGAGATTGATTTGTTTCAAATGAAGCTAGTTTTTATTGAAGATCCATGAATTGTCAAAATAAAGGAGTGTTTAAAAAATCTTTCTGGTTCAATTAACCAGTCAAGTCTATGAAACAAAAATGTATCAGCTAATCAAGTTAAGAGCCACTGGACAGCTACTTTGTCCTAGTATAGGGATTCTTCGCAATATGCACTCAACCTCTTGAGGGATCCAACTCAAAAAGTAGAGTTTTCATTGTGAGCGCATTCCTATTGGTCTGCTTGTATACAGTTCGAATTTTTATTCAGTACCATTGTTGAGTATTTGTCCTCACATCCGTTCACATATCCTAACACAATCTAATCCTGTTGGTTTCTAATTGAAGGGGGGGGGGGTTGTAGTATATGAAGGATAAAGGAGAATTAGGCCGATAGATTTCTGTTATGGATAAGATTTGACCGAAGTGTTTGTATGTGTTACGATACCTTTTATACAAAAGTAGAATACAATCTGAAAGTAACATCATCAATCCTACAATTATATCTATCTGCGTTTAAGGATAAACTAAGCTAATTTCTTTAATAGGATTAATTATTGTCTAATGGTTTCACCCACAAAATTCATGTTAACTTCTGACAGGTCTTTGGGAAGAAAAAAAAGGTTTTGAAATCTCTGAAAGTGATATCAACATATCAACAGGTTACAATAGTGACTTACTAATGAATGATTAACCTATTCTTTACTACATATCATCGAAGAAAATCAACCAATAATGAATAGGAAAGATAAAATGTTTTTAATTAAAGAAGTGTATATTTTAATTCATCATATAAATTGATAGTCAGAAAATGTAAACAGTAAGATGAGGTTGAGTGTTAGAAGTGGTTGATTGTTTATTTTTTTTAAGTCAAACCTTACCATTTTATCGGTTTCAGAATATATCAGTTCCCTTTTCAAATGTATTATATATAACTGAAAGATTCATTTGAATGTGCCAGTTATAATTAGTTAAATACAACACTTGTGACAGTTATATATTTTTCTAAGGATTAATTCATTATGTCATGTTTATAGAAAGGTATATATACTACTAGTAGTTAGAAATAATTATAATATTCAAAGTAACTTCTGGATGGATGTCGTGCTATATTGTGAACCGATAAGAGTAGGAAATAAAGGTAGCTGTATCCCGAACCATAGGCTCAGTGATAAGTTACTGACTATGGAACCTGAAGGTACTGGGTTCGATCTCTTTTCGAGTGGGGTCATGGGTGTGCACTTCTGAGGAGTCCCGTACTAGGACGAAATAGATGTTCAGGGCTTCCAGGTTTCTAATTTTTCTCCAACTGATCTCAGTACAAAATTAAAATCCCTATTCACTTCAAAGTACATTACTGTATAGTTCTCATTAGTGATGTTGCTTCCAGATGGATATTTGGAAGTTCTAATGAGAAGCCACGACATGTAGGGTTAACCAGTCAGAAGGGAAGTTGATGCCAACTGAGGACCTTGGGTGATAGTTGCGTTCGATGTGAAACCTGAAGGTCCTGATTTCGAAACCAAGCCGGGTCGTGGGTACGTCTGATAATGAGTCCCGTGCTAGGACGAACTAGCCGTCCAGTTCTTCATGGTTTGCAGTGGTCCATGGTGAGTACCAACTTTTGTAAGCTTTATATTTGGTAAATAAAGAAACGTCATATCTCTCTGTCTATATATGAAAATATTTTTTAATTTGCTTCTCAGTTGAGCTGACCAACATTTAAGAAGAAAACACTTTTTGATGAAAAGATGTACACTTCAAGGTAGTATTCATCAAGGATACCATTGAGAATACGGGAGTTACTGTAAGGGAATCCTTAGCAGGATGTGCTCACCACTATACCAGGGGCCGAACCCAAGAACTCCAGGTCTCACGACGAACGCGTTTGTCATTCAGTGCTACTACTCACCAAAGTCTTCAGGTGACATTGACTTCACTTCCGACTGGTTGACTCCACAGGTCACGACTTCTCATAAGAACTGCAAGGTATTCATCAACACACCTATATTAAACACTATTCTGATAAAATGATCTGGTCTCAAGGTACGTAGATATGTTAGTTGGATGAAGGCAGTCAGGAGGAAATTCTGCCACTCCTAGGTTTCTTGACACCTGGCAGCAAGATGAGTTTGTGAACTTGAAGGAAATGATATCTTTTCTTGAGATTAAAACCCACATCACTCAGTGTTGTAGTCGGAGACGGTACTACTGAGCTATTTGGGTTGCGACTGACTTCCTGTAGAAATACAAGGCTTCATGTACTATCACATACTCAACGATGACACTAGATGGAAATTGCATTATATGGTGAACCGATAGGATTAAAAAAATATGGATCACTGTATCCTGACCCAGTGGCTCAGTGGTAGTGGTGGACATGGAACCTAATGTTCCTGGGTTTGATCCTTGATCAGCCGAGATGTCCCACACTGGGAAGAAACAGCTGTTTGGTGCTCCCAGGTTTTCAGCTTCTCTCTTATTGATACCTTTTTCTTTCAGTATTCAAAGCGTTTCTGTGATTAATCTATCAAGCTTCTTAGTGTAAACTAAATTATAGGTTTCATACAATCCTTTATGTATCATACTGCATACTTTGAATTTATTATGAAAACAGTGAATGGCTAGGCTGATCCCTTCAACAGAACAAAACATACGCTTATAACGAATGATGAGGGAAAAAAAACATCCATTCAACTGTACAAGTTTATGGTTCGAAGTCTGCATAAAATAACGAAGAGAAAATTGTCTGGAACTCTTCATTACTTAACTTACGAATATTTACGAATGTACAGCTGTGAAAATGAGTCGTCGAAAAGATAATTATCTTCATTGTAACCTCCATTTTTGTTTTTCAGATGAAAATTATGAAAAAAATGACATAAAATTATTTCGCTTACAAACCATGAAAATTTTTGAAAGTAAATAAATTCAACTGGAATATTCACTAAATCTGTAAAAATATAAATTAAAAACTTACAAAAGGAGACAGAAATCAGATCTTTTTTTCAGATTCTTAAACCATAAAAATTATGTTTATTCTCAGGATACTTGTACACATCTATCAGTTCATTAATTAACCTTATAAAAATGTTATTTGGCTAAACTTCTTCTACTGATAAAGCTTTATTTGAAGCCTTGATCAATCTATCCAAGAATCAGACTATATTATCCCAAAGTATTATTATGCTTATCATAGGTTATAGAGTTGTTTGTGAAAATACGAACATTTTCTATGTTCTTTATGTATAACAACCCAAATGCAAAGTTTTTACAGTGATATCTGTCACTGAATCATGTTTCAAACCGTTTACTCATATGCAAAGTGTCGGCTTTACTTTCACTTCAGGATGAATGATGCTCACAGATCACAGTGAGTTAGTTGAAGCTTCAAATTACAACCAAACTGATTTATAATTGCAGTTTTCACTTCAGAACATATTCATACACTATTATTATTATTGCGAGAAGCGAGAAGAGGGGGATACACTGGACTGCGGAAAAGAACCTAGAAGACTTGGATTTCGCCAACGATGACTTATGTCTGATATCGCACAAACTTGAAGATCTACAGGCGAAAACTAACAAGTTGGTAGAAGAGGCAGCGAAGACTACACTTCAAGTGAATATAGAGAAGACAGAGGTGATGAAGATGCCTCATCAACAACAACAAGCTCCAGTCACCATCAACGGGAGAAACGTAAAGGAAGTAACCTCCTTCACCTATCTAGGCAGCACTGTCTCAACTACAGGCGGCACAGGTACAGATGAGGATGTCAAGGTCAGAATCGGAAAACAAGACAGGCGTTCACTAGCCTGAAACCAGTGTGGAGATCTTCTCCACTGCACTCAGCATGTGGAACAAGATCCGGATTTTCAACACCAACGTCAAATCAGTGCTTCTGTATGGTTCAGAGACTTAGCGCGTCACGAAAGGGATTTCCAATAAACTATAGACATTCATCAACAACTGCTTACGCTGGCTCCTTACTGAAGATCAGATGGTCAGATTAATGAGAATAAGCAACAAAGAGCTCTGGGAATGAACCAACCAAGAACCTATCACTCAACTTATATGCACGAGGAAGTGGAGATGGATTGGGCATACACTGAGAAGGCCGACTGAGGACATTACGCGTCAGGCCAGTGCCTCGAGTGGAATCCCCATGGGAAGCGACGAGTTGGACGTCGGTGCCGAGGGTGACATGGAGGAGGTCGTGCGAGGAGGAAATGAGAGCTTGTGGGCTGTCGTGGAACCAGGTTGAAAAGATCTCAGAGAACAGAGTTCACTGGAGACGTGCTACAGAAGCCCTATGTTCCACTAGGAACCCAAGAGACTAATAATAATATTATTATTTGTCCCTTGGTTTCCCAATAGGACATACGGATTCAGTAGAACGTCTCCATTCCACTCTCTTCTCTCAAATATTTTCAACCTGACTCCACCGATGCCCACAAACTCTCATTTCTTCCTCACACACCATCTCATCCATGTCACCCTCAACTCGGACACCCAACTCCTCATTTCCCCTACAGATTCCACTGAAGAAACTGGCCTCACCTGGCATGTGATGTCCTCCAATGGTCTTCTCAATGCATGCCCAATCCAATCCATTTCCACTTCCTTCCAGTACATACTTGTTCAGTGATACGTTGTTGTTTTCTTCGTTCCCAGAGTTCCTTGTTGCTTATTCTTATTATTCTGGCCATGTGAGCTTCAGTAAGAAGCCAGTGTAGACAGTTGTTGATGAATATCTGTAGTTTGTTGGAAATGCTTTCCGTGACACGCGAAGTCCCTCAACCATCACATGGAAGCACTGAATTCACTGAATTTATGTTGAAAATCTGGATGTTGTTCAGGCTTTATACTGAGTGGAGTGGAGTAGATCTTCACACTGGTTTCAGGTGAATGAAGGCTGGCCTGTCTTGCTGTTTTTCCAATGCTGTCTGCTTTTGACGTCTTCGTCTGTGTTTGTGCCGCCTGTAGTTGAAACAGTGCTGACTACCTAGATTGGTGAAAGAGACAACCTCCTCTAAGTTCCTCCCATTGATCATGATTGGAAATTGTTGTTGTTGTTATTGTTGGTGGTGGTGGTGGTGATGGATGTGGTAGTTGGGTAGCTTCATCACCTCTGTCTTCTCCACATTCACTTCAAGTCCCGTCTTCACTACTCTGCCACATCTGTCAACCTGTTAGCTTTCCCATGTACATCTTCAAGTTTGTGTGATATCAGACACACGTCACCGGCAAAATCCAAATCTCCTATGATGTTTTCCCTGGTCCAGCGCATACTCCTCTATTCACTCCCCACTGTTTGTTGCATGATCCAGTCCAGTCCAGTCCAGTCGACCACAATCATGAATATCATGGGTGATAGTAGGCGACAACTTTGTCTTACTCTTGTCTTCATTTGAAGGGTATCACTGAGTTGAGCCTCCCATTGTGAATTACTTGTCATGTGGCGTCTTCATATAGTTGTTGAATGAGGTTGATAGAGGTTTGTGGTGCTAAAACCGTAGTGTTGAAGCAGGTGCTTATCAAATTACTTGTCGGTCGACGCTGTGGAGGGCCTTTTCAAAGTCGATGAGGTTGAGCTGAGTCAGAGATTTGAACTACTGCAATCTGGGCAGCCTTGCTAGTTTCAATCGTAGTGCAGACATTCCATGTCCCCATCCTTACTTTCGCTTACATCGAGAGAACAGAAGACACATCAATCAATTGGCTTTCCGAAGGCTTTCACTAACCGGCGTCATTTCGTCTTCCCAATCTCAGCGAGGATTAGGTTTGTTTTTATTTTGATATTTTGTCTGTGATTTGAAGTTTCTTCAGCTATTAGACACGTTTTCCATGGTAGTGTTGCTAGTCTTATGCCCAATCTTCCCTCTTTATGCTGACTTAAGACCGTCGAGTAACTAGTGTACTAGTTAACCAGGCAAGCGAATTTCAAATGTATTCACAATTTCTCAAGGTCAAACTAATAATTTTTCATTGAATCTAAACAAAAGATTGGACCTGAAACCTGAAGTTATCGTCAAATTTGAGTATATATAAATGTATAGGACTTATTGAAATTATGAGTATTTGTTTACATTTTTTCAGCATAAAGTATCATGGATACCTAGTACACACTATTCTGGTTTATTTGGTTTGTCCAAACTACTAATTCCGGAGATTCTACCAGATTCTGTTGAAAAGGTATGTTTAAAAAAAGTGCAACCTTTATTTGTAAATACATTAAAATGTCTTTTTCATTCCTAGAATATTAAATTATTCAGTTTTAAATATCTTTCTGATGAGAATCTAGATTTTGAAATCAGTCATTTACATGCTGGTGACCTACACTATCTGTTATGTTCTTTTCCTCTATCTCTCCTATTTTCTTTTATATCTTCAAATAGTAGCAATTTTGTCGAATATGCCGATTACGTGACACTTTCTATACCTGTCTTCTCTCTAATAGACTGTTCCCAACTGAACGACTTAGTACCTACTATTGAACAGTCATCCTCCGTGAATAACCTTCTGCTTAATTCCTCTCATGTCTTACTAATTCTTGGAAAATTCTTCCACCCAACTTATTATATTAGAAAACTAAGCGTGTCTAGTATAATTCAGCCTCTTCTCTTGTGGTTTACAAACTCCTACAACTCACCTATTCTCCTCTATTGTTGCCCATTTGTTCTTTCCTGAGTTGCTAAAAAACGACTATACTATTGCATAGAACTTTGAAGACAGTCAGCAGAACTAGTGGAATACTTCTAAACTTTCTAATTGAGATTGTTAAGGAGAAACATCTTATTTCATGGAACCATCTAGCAGGAGTTATTTTTTCTGATGTCCAGGATGTTGTTCACTCAAATCTCTAAGTGTCACTCCTAAGATAAGACCAGGAGTAAGCATATAAGACTTGATAGGCGTACTACTAAATATAAAAACTTTACGGTACCATATCCTGTACGAGGAGGTAAGTGTCAGAAATATAATTCCTAATATGACTGTCACAAATCTTTTAGTTATACACCATATACTAGCTGAGGTTGATAAGTCAACCGTAGAAGCAGTAAATTTCAGTCGACTGAAGTTACCTGAGTATATGTTAGGTAGATCAGTAGACCCACTTTCATCAGGCTGTAACTTAAGTGGAGTAAACTAAGTTGATAAAGGCCTAGAAAAATGCAATCAAAACATGGCACTAATTGATGAAGTCAATGATCAACGAAGTGAAACGCCTAAACAAGTAAAGACTACCTGGATAAGGTACTTAAGGCTACAGGAATGAACAGTGAAAAACTCAATGTAAATGTGTTCACCCTTTACAACTTCAAAAAAAATGCCAAATTTCAATTAAACTTTATTCATTCATTAAAACAATTATTTATATAAGAAATTCAAGTAATCGCTTTTGTTGATAATTTTGAACGAGACTACGAAAATCAAAATGTGAAGAGTATAATACTTTCATTACATTTCAAAACTTCAACTCAAATATTGACTGTTTTTCAAAGCAATAAACCCTTGAACCCTTGAATCTTTTAATTGCAATCTATTAGTAACAGAAATAATGCGTTACTTAATCACAATAAGTCTCCTTAAAGACAAAATTTCACTTAGGGATTAAGTTTTATGCCGATGAAAGTCTGCGCTTTTGGAAAATGTCGATGATACCTTCCTTGTTTTTGATATTATGAGTCATGCGCCAAAGCTATTCGACACCTTCTACCGAGCTTTTCTAAATATTAATTTTATAACTGAATACGAAAATGAGAATGGACTCAGTATTATGGATCTGAGCATAAGACTAAGGTGTGATGGTACAGTTGAGAAAGACATACAGATTGGTCAATACCTTCACTATAATAGTTCTTATCCTATCAGCTATAAGCGTGATTTAGTCAAGACACTCTTCACTAGACTAAGAACACTGCGCTCAAAAAGATAAACAAGAAGAAGAATTCGGTATAATTGAGAAAGCTCTTATAGAGAATGGATATTCGAAGAAATTCATCATGAAGAATGGAAAAGAGTTTATTGAGAGACCGAAACATCCAACTGTTGAGAAGAAGCCAGTTTTCCTTCAGCTACCATACAAAGGTGATGAGACATCTGAAAGAACAGACAGAAGAATAAAGTCTGCTTTGAGAAGGAGCTCCACTGCTGCCAGACTGACCCCAGTTTACAACATTGTATGCTCAATAACACTATCGAAACTAGACAAATACCCATCTCATGTCACCTCCAACTGCATATGCTTACGGAAGCAAGTACATAGGATCGACCGAAAGATATTTCAAGAAATCTGTGTCTAAAATGTACCAAGATCTTTAGGAGCGTAATCGTCAGGCATCTGATTACAACACGATATCAAATGGGTATTTCTCAATCCTTCAGGATAATCAACAAACAAAGAACGCCATGTTTATTGCAGTTTTCGGAAGTTGTCGCCGTCAAACATTTTCATCCTGACCTATGCACCCAGAAAGAAACTTTATTTAACCTTCCTTTACCCTGGTAACTATAGATAACTTTTTGCACATGTATATATGTAGTTTTACTTTCTTGTTTACATTATCTCTTTATTAGTTAATTACTAGGTGTTAGTCACTCAGCCTAACGTCTTCTAATTTTTTTAATTTGATTAGGTAACTCATTAACTCTTTAACAGTCTCTTCTTTGACACTCCTGAGTGCTTATTATCCCCCTCCCCTCCTCCATAGCTCCAGATATAAACTGTCATTGATTGTGAAAAACATTTGCGATTATTAACCATGTTCAACGAATTTATTCTCATGCTGTACATTCGTATATATATGATTAATCAATTATGCTTGAGCATTTAATCGATTCCGACCATTCAGCCAACCCAAACAAGGATTTCAAGGTTATCTATCGAATTCACCCTAACACTTCATGTTTCCTCCGTGTTCAGCTTCTAAAAACAACAGAGGCTTTGATTATCCATAAACTGAAGCCTGACCTTTCTGTGCAAAAGGAGTGCATATAGTCTTTGTCTCTACCTTGGCCTTAATTTATTTTAGTCTTAGTGGGCTTCGTCCTTTGTTCATTTTTCACCCCATTCCCCTTTTTTTGTCAGATTAATCTTTGTACTCTTATATTATCATTATCACTCTATTTTTTGTATTTATTTGTTTCCGGTGTTATTTGGTCATTTGATCTTCCTAATTATTTCAAGTTGTTATTCATCGAAGACTGACATCAGTTGGAGGAACAAAGGAGACCTGGGAGCACTGGACAGCCGTTTCATCCTAGTATGGAACTCCTCAGCAGTGCGCACCCACGGCCCCACCAGCAGGGATCGAACCCAGTGGCTCAATGGTAACGCGCGCAGAACCTGAAGGTCACGGGTTCGATACCTGCTGATATGGGGTCGTGGGTGCGCACTGCTGAGGAGTCCCATACTAGGACGAAACGGCTGTCCAGTGCTCCCAGGTTTCCTTTGTTCCTCCAGCTGATGTCAGTCTTCGATGAATAACAACTTGAAGTATTTCCAAATCTCCACAACTCCCTCAAAATTTAACTTCCTAATTATCTTAACTTTTAACAAAACATTTTCAATTTACTCCAACTAACTTGTCTCATTTATATTACCTAATCCTTTGATTGTTTATTAATGTTTTCACCCCTTTTAATCTATATGCACTTTGTAAACAATATGAAGGTCTTATGTAACCTCTTTTGTTACCATTCGACCTTCACGTTATTAACTATCAACATTATAATTATCACTACCATCATTATTATTGTTTCAACCCACCATTATTTCAGTTAAATCTTCCTCACAATGGGAATAATGAACGTATTAGCCCTGTGTTTCCACGACTTACTAGCTGATTTTTTATCCTGGAATTCGAAATCTTCATTAATTTTTACATATCTAAAGTATGGTTTATCATTATTACTACTAATACTGCATTACCATTGAAGGTTATTCGCAGCTGATGAAAGGTCATGAAATAAAACCTGCTCATTTTATTCTGAAAATTCTTTTATGCTTGCATTGTTCCAGTTTAAGGAATTTAGTTATTTCAAGTTAGAGTTTTTCGTGGGCCAATATCACTTGTGGAATCACTGAAAACCTGGGTTCTCTAATGAGGATTTTGGTACATACTACTGAAGAAACCCACACTAGGACGAAATGGTCGTTCAGTGCTCCCACGTTTTCACTGGTTCTCCAAAAGATACCAATCCATGTTGGATACTACCCTGAAATGAAAATCCCCGAATAACGAAGGGATGATGGAAACAATAAACATTTAACATAATAAAAAAAACGGTTCATCGCACTATCATCTTTTGTTTAAAAGTAGCGCAGAAATTGTTTGTTTTTAAAAATTGGTGTCATGACGAGATTAAAACAAAAAACAGTCTAATTAACTAGCTGTCATACCGATTGGTCTGATAGATAACGCTTTGAGATGGATACGAAGTTCAAATCTCACTCGGGATATCATCATTCCCTGAGGTGCAGGTATAACTGCTTGATGAATCTCAAAAATGACGAAACGTAAGTAGTAGATTCCAAATGCTAGCCATCAAGTACAATATAGTAAAATGAAATTGTTGACAAAATTAGTAGACATATTTATTTGTTTATTGAAAATAAAAAACACAAAGGGAAATTATAAACTTGCTAAAAGTATCACATAAATTTCGACATACCTTTTAAGGTTCAATTTGCAAACTTTTTCTGAATATTTTTCAATTCTTCAACTCATCAATGAACCTACTTTTGACAATGGTTGATGGAAGAACGTTTGATGAGTAGGTTTCTTAGCAGGTTTGGCGTAAATCTTTACCTCAATAAGGATTTAATTTCACTTCCTACTTTGGATTAAAACATAATGCAAAATTAGGACTGGAAAAGGAATGTTTTGGTCTTGTCACGAGTATCTGCCTTGGGGGATGTACATGTATCTATCTCGTTGAGTGATAGTGTTCACAATGTAGCCTATCGAGCAACACTTTTGTGTTTGAAGAGATAGGTGTTAGTGGGAATACCAACACCTGGCTTCGATTCCACTACCAGCCACCAACAGGCAACAAAATCAGCATGAAACTTAGATATCCAATCCAAGAAACCCCCATATCTCAAAAGTAACTGAATAATTTATCCTAGTATATTAATACACAAGGGACTATAACCATCATTAAATAAGACGGGGTGTGTTTCTATGATGTTTTAGATGTAAAATTAGATTTCGCTGAGTTGTTGGACTGTATTACTAAGATTAGTCAAAAAAATTGCACTTCATAGTTGTCATCTTGAGAATAAGAAGTATATTATATAGTCGGATAAATGCTCAAACTTTTACTCTAAGTTTTCGTTTCATTCTCATATTACATTACTGTATTTTAGGTGATAAGCCTCGATGTTGACCTCCTTGTGAATTCTGATCTCCAAGAACTTTGGAATTATTTCAGTGAATTTAATTCTACACAGGTCAGTTACTAATGTATAGAGTTATAAATATTATGATGATGAATAAAGAAATTTTAAAATCTGTATCGTCTGTCCATAGAAACTGAAGTGTGTAGATTATACCAATGAGAAAGAACTTCTCCATTATCTGGAGATAAGTTATAGGTTATGCATTATGACAGAAGGTAAAAACTTTGTCATTACATAAACACCTATGAAAAAACTTTGTTAAAATAGTGATAAAGCTAGACAGTTAGATAAACACTGTCAGACGGTTAACAAAAAGATTTGAGAAGTAGTATTCATCATAGACTGACATCATTTGAGGAACCATTGAAAATCTGGGAGCACTGGACGGCTGTTTTATCCTAGTAAGGGACTTCTCAGCAATACGCACCCATGACCCAGCTAGGGTTTGGACTCAGGACCTTCACGTTTCACGGCGAACGCGTTAACCATTCAGTCACTGGGTCGGCTTCCAGTGGTACAGAATTTCCAACTTCTGTCAATTCACGATATAGTGCGACTATCACACAAGGTCTTCAGTTAGCATCCACTTCACTTCCGACTGGTTGACTCAACAGGTCATGGCTTCTCATGACACCCATCGTCTCGCGATATCCATCGCCGTGAAACCTGAAGGTCCTGAGTTCTACCCTAGCCGGGTCGTGGGCGCGTACTGCTGCGGATTCCCATACTAGGACCAAACAGCTGTCCAGTACTCCCAGATTTTTAATGGTTCCCCAACTGATGTCAGTCCATGATGAATACTACTTCTAAAATAAAAAATCCCCATTCAAGTTAAAAAGATATGAGTTAAATATTATGGTTTGTACTTCCGCGTCATTCATTCAATCAGACTGTTCGGTAACTATTGGCATATGAGCATTTTTGTGGATGTCTCTGGATTGTTAGTATTTAAGTAAGACAGTGGTGGTGGATACTGGCAAGAAGTGGGTGCTTGTTTCGTCAGCTGGATATACCTGCCTCCTAAGCTATAATATATAAACTTTACTATACTTGTTGTACAATAAGTGGTTATCATGGCTGATTGGTCTAGAGGATAGCATTCTGGCATTTGAGACGACTGGTCCTGGGATGCAAGTACATCTAGATAATGAGTCCTATGTAGGAAGAAATATACGTCCTGAATTCAACTACTAACCTCTAACTATCATTAATATATCAGCAAGATTTTATCACGGGCAATATTAAGGGCATCTCTTAAAAAAAGGTTCATTTACAAAACCATAATCTTTTCACTCAACAACGGATAAGAATGAGAATTTCCTGTGACAAAAGTCTTTGAAACGCCATTTTTTAATAGTAATAATAATAATAATCACTTTATTCTAAACAACATGTATGATATAGTATGGAATTTTCGGCATGGAATATTCTAACAAGTTCGCTTTGCATACAATAGTATGTTAGTAATAACAACAGCATTGAAGGCATAAGCGTAAAATGGACAGTTAGTGTTACATTAGTATCTGTTCTCGATTATAACTTTGATGATAGCAGTTCAGTCAATCAGTCAGCATAGAAATTCACAATCCCCTACAAGTAAATATCCTAGAAATGGTAATGTGGTATATTTTTCAGCATTTACAACTAGCGGAATGTTTTTTCTATGTTTTTGTTCTTCTCATAAAGAAGAATTTAATGAAAGATAATCGGTAGAAAATTTGTTTGATAGCCTAAGAAATAAACAGGCCACCTTAATAATGATAATTCTTTACAATTCATTGAAAGTATACTTTAGGGTTACTATACAGAGAAATACAAAGGATACTTACCAATGAGAACTATGTTGTCAATAATCACCTGATGAATGTAGTAAATTGTTTCACATTTCTGTTATTTGTAGACTTTTATTTCATTTTAATATTCATCTAAATGTAACATAAGTGTAATTAAAAATTTCTCTTATATTTCTAAAGATGATTGGACTAGTCGCTAACCAAAGTCCATGGTATTTAAGAAAAACAAATCGAGTAGTATGGCCTGCATGGGTAAGTTTAAACAAGATTTATATTAATATAGGTGTAAAACTTGGGCACTGTAGCAGAATTTAATTCCATATTAGATATGTTTATTTGATTGATAACACACAGTGAGTGGTCTAGTATTATTTACTTGATGGCGTTTCCAGCATAAATGATCACTGCTCATTATCATATCAATCGAATCATACCACTTCCGACATGTGATCTTTTATACACTTTTATGTCACCCCATGCGAGTTGTTTTGTTGGTAGCTAAATGTTACATATCTCTAGTATAGATATTGCGTCATTTCTATTATATGTGATGGGTAGGTGTTTATTCAATGAACAAAGATTGAGTAATCAATCCCCCCCTCTCTCTCTCCACCTAATTATATTGTTGGATTGGTTTTATCCTACCTGATTTTGTGGCTGTGTGTTAATGCATGCCTATATTGGAATAGACGAGCATTTTTCCCAGATTATTGATCTAATTGTGAACTGTCATTCTGTATTTAGCTAAATTCCTATGTTCCTCTGTTCTAACATTTCCCAACTTGCTAGTTTCACCTACATATTTGAGATTGCAGTCATTGTGTGGAGTTCGATAGATGAGACTATTTTGCTTAGTTGTTTCCATCTGATCCTGAAGCCATTTGACAACGGTTATCTGTTAGTGAGTTATTAGTTTTAAATACTGCCTTAGCTGTTGAGGTTCCTACTTAAATGTTGTGATGTTTCTTCCTTATAGGGTAACAGAATGGAGGTAGTGAACTCTTTTCTACTTGTGTTGTCGTTATTATTCGTACTGGTATTACTGTTATTATCTCGCTTCTTGTTTGCTCATACGAATTTCCAGATAGACTGTGGAGGATAATTATTAACTGTTAGCGCTTCTTTTACGTGTTTCGATTCCTTGTTTAGGTTCTTCCTCTTATAGTGCTAGTAAACTGACTAGTCAGAGCAAGAACCTAAACAAAGAATTGAAACACGTAAAAGAAGGGCTAATAGTTAATAATTATACTCCACAGTTTATGAGGAAATTCTTACGAACAAATAAGAAACGAAAAAATAACAGTCACACGAGTGCGACTAATGACGACTACATATGTAGAAAGGAGTTCACTACCTTCTTTGTATTGCCCTATAAGTAAGGTATATCAGAAATCTTACGTAGGATTCTCAACAGAGCTGGAATTAGGGTGGCATCCAAACCTACAAACTCACTCAGAGATAAACTTTGTCAGCTGGCTTCAGAATCAGATAGAATCAATTAAGCAAAATAATCTAATCTATCAAATTCCACACAATGACTGTAATATCATGTACATAGAGGAAACTAGTCGGTCGGGGTCAGTTAGAATAATCGAACATAGGGATTTAGCTAAATATAGAATAACAGACCTAAATACAATCAGTAATCTAGAAAAAACTTGGCTATTGCTATGCATGCATTAACACAGAACCACACAATAGGGTTAGATAAAACCAATCTACTTAAGTCCAGAGATATAATCAGGTGGAGAGAGAGAGGGAGATTGATTACTGAATCTTCTTTCATCGAATCAACACCTACCCAACACATGGGATAGAAATGATGTAATACCTACACTACAGATATGGGAAATTTTATTACCAATAAAAGCAACTCATATGAGGTGGCATAACTATGAAAATCAAATGTCGAAGTTAGTGTGATTTCATTGATATGATAATGAACAGTGATCATTTATGCTGGAAACGTCATCAAGTAAATAATACTAGTATTACTTGTTTGATGACATCTTGAGCATAAATTATCATTGCTCATAATCATATCAGTGGAATCACACTACTTTCGACATGTGATGTTTTATGTAATTATGTCACTTCATATGAGTTGTTTTTATTGGTAGCAAAATTTTTCATACCTCTGGCATAGATGTTGCATCATTCCCATTACATGTGTTGCTTATTGATTCGATGAACAAAAATTCAGTAATCAATCTCTCGCTCTACCTAATTATATTGGACTTAAGTACAGTGGCTTTATCCCACCCAATATACTGGTTGTGTGTCAATACACGCATTACAATAGCCGAGTTTCTTCTAGATTATCTATCTTATTTAGGTCTGTTATTCTATATTTTGCTAAATTCCTGTATTCAGCTATTCTGACTGACCCCGACCGACTAGTTTGACCTATATACTTGACCTGACTCACTGTCATTACATGGTATTTGATAGATTATATTATTTTACTTAATTGGTTCTATCGGATCCTTAAGCCAGCCGACAAAGTTTATCTCTGAGTGAGTTGGTAGGTTTAAATGACACCCTAATTCCAGCTCTACTGAGAATTCTACATAAAGTTTCTGAGGTACCCTCCATATAGGGTAATACAAAAGAGGCTGTGAACTCATTTTTTAATAAAACAAACAATGTGACATTATCACCTACTTGATACTTTGAGATTGATAACCTTTCATTGAACAACTCTCACCACTAGATTGGTATGTAATTTTACTTTTGAAAATGCTACATACATTAGTGTAGAGCCGTTGATGAGGAACTAAATGGAAAGAAATATTTCTTCGATCACATTGTTTGTCCTACTAAATGTATAAATGGGAATTTTTGCATTAACTCATTTTTTCTCGTGTTTTCGTTATTAGTAGCACTCGTGTGACTGTTATTTTTTTGTTTTTTTGTGTCCGTAAGAATTTCTGAATAAACTGCTCAGGATAATTATTAGCTATTAGCACTTATTTTACGTGTTTCAATTCCTTGTTTAGGTTCTTGCTCTGACTAGTCAGTTTTCTAGCTCTATCATTTAAACATTTGACTAATCCTGCCTTAACTGACTGACATTGGATAACATGACCTGAAGTCTAGATACCTGTTCGAATGTGTTGGTTTTCTGTACACGGTAGTATCCCAAACACCATTATTCCTATGTTTAATCCTGAAATTCAACATAGGTAATTCTCCTTGTTCATTTTCTACCTCATAAGTGAATTGGAGAGTGTTTTTACTACTGAGTTTATATGCATGAGGAAATTGTCGATATGTTCCGATTTCAACACTGTAAATGTGTCATCCACATATCGCCACCATATTTTAGATGTTGGACTTATATGTTCGTAAAGCCATATCTTCCTAACTATCCATAAATATATCCACTACGATTGAGGATATTGGTGATCCCATTGCTACTCCTTCTGTTTGTCTGTTTATTTTGTTGTGAAACTTGAAAACTATGGAGGTCAGGCATAACTGAATGTGTAATATAATCTCATCAACGGATATCTTAGTTCTGTGAGTAAGTTCTGAGTCAATATTTAGTTGACTTCTGACTGCCTCCAGTGCCATATTGATTGGTATTTTAGTATACAGACTAGTTACATCAAAGCTAAACATTTTTTCATCTTCTATGTGTAGGCCATTAAGCCTAAGTTTTAACTCGTAAGAGTTTACTAGTCTGGAATTAAAACGTTCAAATCGTTCATCGAATCAACACCCACCTCAACACATGTGATAGATAAGACGCAACACCTATACCAGAGATATGGAAATTTTGGCTACCAATAAAAACAACTCATATCAAGTGATGTAACTATGAAAATCACGTCTAAGGTAGTGTGATTCCACTGATATGATTGTGAGCAATGATAAACGTTATCAAGTAAATAATCCTAGATCACACACTCTGTGTTATAAATCAAGTAAACATATCTAATATGAGATTTATATTATCAATCGACATCTCACGTTTATTTACTGAGTAAATTTATTTTGAGAATATTGTATCATTCAGCTAGTTACGAAATAATATGATTGTTGATGATACTATAAAGTCTTTGAGGAAAAAACCCTCTAACTTCAAATAACGCTAAAAGCATACAGAAAATATCTACACTTTTATGTGCATCCTTCACACTATGTTTTACTAATCGTTTGTATGAGGGTCAAGAAATAGTGACAGACAGATGAATTGCCTAAACTGGCCACTTCGTGTTGTATTTATCACTCCTACTACTCCTGTGGAGCCAGTCACATTTGCCTCTGGTCTTGCAACTTAATTTTAATGTATTTCCGAACCAATAGGTTCAGTGATGAGGATGAACTAATAGTAGTACACAAGCAATCGATAGTAACCTGTTTCCACGTTACTGATATCCACAAAAGAACAGGAAGCTGAGAAGACAAGGTTTATCACTCAGCTATACATTCGTGGATTTGTTACGTTGACCAAAACATTACAGAGTTATTTCCACTGAAGGATCAAAATATACTGAATGATGAAGAGAAGTTGCGTAATCGAAATGAGAGTATAGAGTAGGAAACTAAACAAATGATTATGATCAATAAATGCATGACTACGTAACACTGGGTTTGTCTATGACATTCAAGGCCACTTTACGGTTCACTTCAGCCAAGTACGCTGACACGGTTCTGGTAATGGTCTTTACCATACCTTTACTTAACCACAATGGAAGGTGTTCGTGGACATGGATAATTAAATCCCAAGACCACTGGGCCATATGACTGGTTTCACATGAGCAATCGAACTGAAGAACACACCAGGAAGCAGCCAGTCGAGATAATTCATCACTTCAGTCTACGCGTCACTATTGGGCTACTCCACAATTTGTAGTTCACCAGCATTAAAAGTCCTCTGTATAAATCTGTCTGAGCATTTCACTTCTAAATTGTACCCGAATGTCTAGTGGTTTCCTCCTAGTCATTGGAGTATCCTTTGTTGCCATTTCTGTCATCATATCTCTCTTAATAAAATTATTAGTATGGCCATTTTTAATTAGTGTGTAGCGTACAGTCGTCAGTACTAACAAGTTGTCAGAAGAGGCAGCGAAGATGGGACTTCAAGTGAAGGTAAAGAAGATAGAGGTGATGAAGATATCCAACCAACAACGAGCTTCAGTCACCATCAATGGTAGAAACTTAGAGGAAGTTGTCTCTTTCACCAGTCTAGGTAGTCAGCACTGTTTCAACTACAGGTGGCACAGGCATAGACGAGCACGTCAAAACCAGCCAGGATTGGAAAAACAGCAAGACAGGCCAGCCTTCATTCACCTGAAACCAGTGTGGAGATCTACTCCACTCCACTCAGTATAAAGCCTGAACAACATCCGGATTTCCAACATAAATTCAGTCAAGTCAGTGCTTCCATGTGATGGTTGAGGGACTTCGCGTGTCACGGAAAGCATTTCCAACAAACTATAGATATTCATCAACAACTGTCTACACTGGCTTCTTACTGAAACTCAGATGGCCAGAATAATAAGAATAAGCAACAAGGAACTCTGGGAACGAAGAAAACAACAACGTATCACTGAACAAGTATGTACTGGAAGGAAGTGGAAATGGATTGGATTGAGCATGCATTGAGAAGACCATTGGAGGACATCACGTGCCAGGTGAGGCCAGTTTCTTCAGTGGAATCGGTAGGGGAATGAGGAGTTGGGCGTCCGAGTTGAGGGTGACATGGATGAGATGGTGTGTGAGGAAGAAATGGGAGTTTGTGGGCATCGGTGGAGTCAGGTTGAAAATATTTGAGAGAAGAGAGTGGAATGGAGACGTTCTACTGAATCCGTATGTCCTATTGGGAACCCAAGGGACAAATAATATAATAGTACAGTCATCATTTCTTCCTGAATTGTATCTTCTGAAGATAAAGCCTTTATTCAGAACGCACAAATTCATTCATATCCTACCTCATTTGCCATTTCATCCCTATGGGTTGAAATAATTCTAACTTATTCTCTTAACTTGTTTTGTCACCTAACATGAGTAGCATTCTATGAAGGTATTATTCTTAAAATTATCCCTCTTGGTTTATTTCATCCAACTCTCATAAACACCTTCCTATTGTTTTATTCAACTATTATCTTATAGTATTATCTATGCTGCATAATCGTTTAGATAATCGACAATTTTAGTGAATTGAATTCCAGTAACAATTGGTTTTATCATTACTGTTCACATACATGGCTTTTCTGAATCGACTACCTTAACTGTATGCTTAACTGATAATTGTGATGTGAGTATTGCTGATGTTTAAATCCTCACTATGTGGATATAAGTGTAGTATCTGTAGAAGAGAAAGAAGTAATCGAGAAGGATATTCTTTGTTCACTGAAATATCTTCTGAATCGTAGTAGGAATATTTATTGATTTAGAAAAATGCACTTCCACTGAACTCAACAGTTACAAGTAGTGTTTTCTTTGGAACCGTAGGGCTTTTTTCTTGTAAATACCAAGTAAATATGATATTTACATGACATATACCCCTAATTTTGGCTAATTTTTACTTCATATTTGCCTGTAACTTAAGAATAACGTCATGATTAATGTTTTCGCACCGTTGCTAGCTTTTGTTTTTCCCACCGCTTTCGAAGGCTAAATCCTCATTGGTTGTTGAGTCTTGTAACCTATGAGCGAATTTAGTGTTGTCAAGTTCATTATGGAATATAAACACTGTGCATTGTTCCCAACTATTTTTGACTGTTGTTGAGATAGTACAAGCTCTCGGTCAATGGTTCGCCTTTTTTGATTGTCTTCACATAACGGTGGTATTGTTGTCGTTGTGTTTAACATTCTGGTTAGCCATTAGAGACGATTCGTTTGAGTATTAGGTTCGTATCACTTGTAAACTGCTGGGTTGTACTACCGATCATAGCAGAATGATATCACTGATAACAGTGAATACGCTTCACTTGTTTATTATGTTAGTGGTAAAGATGTCACTAGGCCTGGCGATAAAGCGTTCACCATAATATTTCAGAGCTCAGAGAACACCAAAACCATCATCATTTTCAACCTGACCTACAAATCTTTTTTTCATTTCGAAATCCTGAAGTTTGAAATGATTGGTAGTGGACTGGAGTCTTAGTAGGAACATCATAACTTACTGACAGTCACCTGATGAGTTCTAAATAGAAAGAAACACACGTTCTGGATTCCACTGCTAGCCACTATGCATCTTTGATACTTACTATTACTTATTAATATATTGAGGGGCTAATTTTATACAATTCTGTTTATCAGGGTCCTGGTTTCAATACAGGAGTGATGCTGTTGGATCTTGTACGTCTGCGAAAATTTCATTGGTCAGAACACTGGCATCGAACAACCAAATCTGCATTGCTAAGAATATCACATGCAACTTTAGCAGATCAGGTAAACCTCTTTAACTGACTACTTACTTGTTTGATGAAACATTCTCTAACACTTCCAAATATTATAAGAACTTTTCAAGTTGGTAGTCATCATGGACTGATATCAGTTCGAGGAACACTGGAAATCTGGGGGCGCTGGATAGCTGTTTCATCCCACCAGTATGGGACTCCTCAGTAGGGCACAACCGTGACCCCATTCCAGTACCTTACCTTTGAGTCACTCCGTCTAACTCTATTGGTCCATATTTCCAACTTCTGTAAGTTCACGATATAGTGCGACCCTCATCCAATCTCATCGTTGAGTATTTATCCTCACAGCTAATAGGTTTGCTGCACTGGTCACGACTTCTCATTGGAACTTCAGGAACCACCTCACGAAGCCAGTCACTTATGAGCACTAGATCAATTGAATTTGGGGGTTTGTGGGGATTTAGTGATTTTGCAAGTTGGTATTCATCATAGATCGATATCAGTTCAAATGTCACCCCGTTCTCAGTCTTGAGGAAGTAGATATTGGCTCACACCATGCGTTTTTAGTTTGGGTTGGGTTTGTTGGTAGTATTGAGCCATAGATTTCAGTGTAGGTAGTTGTATCAGTTCAAGGTTAGCCTTATGTAAGTGGACCTGTATCTGAGTGACGGCTGACGCATCCACCTTCAGCAGATATAACTTTTGATGTTCGTAAACATCTACCAAACTACAGAATAAAGTATTCTCACTGTAAATTTACCATTTTCAACTGATTGTTTAGGAGTCAATTAAAAGCGGGGAACTATTACTATTTAACAAAAATCTAAATAAGGATTTAATTTGCTGTGCTCACCAGCACCTCACAGCGTAGTTAAGTAAAAATGTGGTAAAGACTATTACCAGCTCCATAATGATACGCTTGGTTCAAACGAACCATTAGATCGATGCAAATAATTCATTTTCAATCATGTAGCTGGTTTCTATAAGCCTGCCAGAAGGTATCCGACTCAGAATCCTTCAGACTGCAGATGCACCACCATTTAAGATCAAATAACCTGGGTTATGTGTACTTTCTCTAAAACTACGGTGGCCAGGTTCAAGACACAGATTCCTTTACATCCTACTCCAAGTAATCTAATTTTCACCTTCTACACTACAGGTACCCCTTCAACCCTATAATCTGAAACAGTCTTCACAAATTCTTTCAACTTATTCTGTCCCTCAATATGAGTAACATTCTATGAAACTATTATTCCTTGAATTATCTTTCGCAGTTTATTTACTGTAGCTGTCATAAACACCTTCCTATTGTTTTTAATTAAACTATCACCTTGTAGCACTACCTAGGACGTATAATCGTTTAGACAATCAACTGTTTTACTGAACTGAATAGTCAGAGTATTAGATCCTGTGTGGAAGTGTTGACATGATCCATCCAAGACTCTTCACTCGGTTATACCTGAATCTTTTGTTAGTGATTCTGTGCTCAATCAGACTTTACCGCTGCATTCGTCGGTTCAAATCCCGGAGCATTATTGTCAAGGCTGTCGAGTGACATTAACCAACGGTATGATACAATAACTTGTTATTTCCTGATGTCAACTGGTCTCAATTGAACTGACTGGTCATTATTGGCATATGGGCTTTAATGCAGATGCCTTGAAACAATGTTATTATGAGAATGGGGCTACTGATTATCTCTAGGCATCTGCACTGGAACCTATGTGTCAACACTAGTCAGTCTTTTCGTTGGAAATCAATAAACAAATAAAATTACCATGTCATGATATCAAACTACATCCAATGCATTTGAACTGGCTACGGTAACTTGGTAGCCTGGTAGGTAACGTTCTAGCGTCCTTATTGATGGCTATTGGGTTAGAGTATCTATCAGAGAAACAACAGATATGGAGGCAGACACCTGGAGCTGAGAAGTCCTAAACAGGATGGAAACCGAGTTTTAGATCTCATTGATAGCGACAATTCATCGTAAACATCAATAAGCAATGAACCAATATAATGTACTATCACGATTCATCAAATTTTGAACGTTAAACCATACTTGTATTCATTCTCAATTCATTTTGGAGGTCAGCACTGATTGGTTGGCTTCAAGGTCGTACTCCCATAGTGGACGGAAATCAGATGGGGAGCTATTTAAAATGTAGGAGTGCTGGACATCTGTTTTGTCCTACCAAGCGACTCATCATCATTGCACACACACAAGCCCACAAAAAGTTGAACTCATAACCATCCTCTAGTGCCATTGGCAAGTAGTTTGCCCAAAACGCTACCCCACATATTGCTGCTTCATATTAGAATTGGACTGATAAAGTGCTCAGTGTGAGATCTGACAGTGTTTGGTTCGACACCTTTCTAGGTCTTAGCTTCACACTGCTTAGTAGTTGTCTATCAGAACGAAATAATTAATTCATACTTCCAGATTTTCACTAAGCCTTGAAGTGATGTCAGTCTTTGATTTTAATTATCCGATTTCATCAACTGGTATAAAACTGATGAGAGTTCACAAAATACTTTCTATTCTAAAAACCTATTTAGTCCTGCGACGTTTAACTTTAAGAAACATACCTAAACTATACGTTTTTAGCATATATCTCCAATAGCTCAACATGAAAGTGGTGCTAGAAGCCTAGTTCCTGAGATATCGGCTTAACTGAGCTTACATTTCACGCCAAATCTGTATTCATTCATAACAGTTTTGAGTGTCAGACAGTTTTTCAGTGGTATATAACAACTATCACTTCTATTTTTTTTAATTTTACATAAATAAGGATATAATTAATGCTGCTTTAGTGGAGTATCCATCAGGCATTTATGAATTACCCTGTGAATGGAATGTACAACTCACAACTAATATGAATACAAAATTGTGTCCAGTTAGTTGGTTCAACAGCTACTTGAATGATTATACTGAACATATTGATGAAGAGAAATTTCAATCATTTTATCACCTATTGAAAATTGCTCATTTCAACCATCCAATTAAACCAGATATGATTTCATTGAGTGAAATTATAGATGATGATCATTCACGTAAGTGAATAAATCGGTAATTTGATTATTCTGAATTATACTATTCAATCAAAGTGGTCTATAAATTTTTCCATCCAGCTAGCCAGATCATCGATCAACTGTTTTACTCGTTTGTGGTTGAGCAGCCTACCAGTGGCGTATCCTGATAAATTCAGCTCACAGACGTGAATTATTGTTTGCATTCACTTAAATCTGGCTAGCTGATTTGCACTGTCCACCTTAATGTTTCTCACAACTGAGTAGTTTCTAACAACTCAAGCTGTTAATTAGTAGTACATTACGCCAGTTCTTGAAAGTTTCCTGTCAGAGATCATACCTTTTGATCTTTACTCAGTGGTTTCCAGAGGAAACCTTATTGACATCATAGTTGGGTGACAGTTGAGAAACTAATCATCTGTAAGAAATGTCATTCGGAAACTGATCATCCTATCTTTATAGTGCACGAGTTTTCCCATTGTATGAAATGACTACTTCTTATCCTTTACCATTTGTCCTACTCACTGAAGAAGAAGAATATTATGAAAGTTATTCACCGTTAAACAATTCAGATTGTCATCTGAATTCAACATATACTAATTATCATGCACTGAATGTGATTACTTTCTATTACTTGATCTCTTTTAGGTCTAATACTGAGAAAACAATTCGTTAGAATGTATCGTTTTTATCAGAATCTAGACGGAGATTTAGTCAAATCACCTATAGAGCCAACTACATGCTTGAAGTTTGCTTACAACACCAATACACCCATTAAAAAGGTAGTTTAACTTAACTTTAAACTAAAATTGCCTTAACAGCTTTGATATTCATATCAGTCAGACGAAAATTCACGTTTTGTGAGTTATCCTGTTTTCATAATGTTATTTTTCCACAAATTAAATTGTATACAATTCCAATGAAACAACTTCTGTTAAGAGTGTAGGAGTAGAGAGATTTAGTTCATAGTAGTATATCCATTGACAAGGTTACAAATGTTCATCGACTCAGATGTACAAGATGTATGTTACATATGCATAGCCGACATATATAAAGCTCTACAATGTAAGCTGAAGTAAGCTTCGGTTAAAAAAAGGGTTAACAACCGCCAAATTAAAAATATCATATCAATTTATAAAGTTTCATTGTGCTCGTTTGAGTGGAGTAAAGAAAAATGGACTTTTAAGTTGGGACTCAACCGACAATCCGAATCGCTTATTCGAAACTCTACTCGACATGTCAAACACTGATACTGACTGACTACAAAGTCGCTTCAGATTACGAAACTCACAACTCCTTCAGTTATCACACTCCTCAGAAATATTCAACCACAATATAAAACTCTGATAAATACTCAACTCAACGATACACAATTCACTTACCTTTCACATCCTCACTCATCTAACTAAAACAAAACTTTACTCTAGTATACACTGTGTGAGTAATCAACACCAAAAACAATCCCTACAACTAAGAAGACACAGACAACTTCAAAGTTCATTCCACCAACTGCTGAAATACTCAATCAAATTCGCATATTTCCACCACAAAGTTAATTTCTCACAGAATACAAAAACTTAATTGATTATCTCAGCGCTTCATAGATTCATCTTTCATGTCACTCGAAGACGCCAAACAAGTGCTTGTTATTTTTAGTAGACCAACCAGTTTGCTATTCCATTACAAAACCATTATTCATTTGCATCCTCTATCATTGCATTGATTTCAATAAAGTTGAGATGAGATGAGATGAGATCAGGTGAGGTGAGGTGAAGGATACTATGCAAAATCGACAAGTCGATTAGTCAAGTTGTAAATCTTCATCGATTCACATAGCTGCAACATATTCTCTACATGCCCATCAACTACCTACTTCGACTTGTCATGTTGAGGAAAGTTGTTTTAGATGAGAATGAAGTTCAGTGTTCAGTGTGTTCAGATGTGATACTAGTCGATGATATCGATGATTCTAGTTCTGAGTGTTGTGTGGAAGTGTAGACTTCATGAAGAGGATCGTGGTGACGATAAGAATCATTGGTTGAGGATTGTTGGTGATATGGTTGAAAGTTGGTCACAATGCTGTAGATTTACTCACTCCTAGACATTTTGTGAAGCATTAATATTTGTACTGACTGTTATCTAGTGATTGTTTATTCTGTCATGCAACTCTTGCCTACTTTGATGTCACTTCTTTTGTATTCACCTGTTGTTTATATACTTCTGTGAAGTGTGGAGACTGGAAGGCGATACGCATATTTACGAGATTCTACATTCTTTTTGTTTATCTGTTTAACATTATAAACACAAATATTGGCAGGACTTTATACAAAACTGATCATCTGAACACTGATTAGTGAATTGAATGTGTTGGTAGTTACTTTAGCATGACACTTATCTTAAAGCTACTGTTTTAGACAGTTGAGTATTTTTATTCTATGAATCAATTGGATATTGACTAATTTATAAGAGATTGTGAGGTTAGATTTTCAAAATGAAACGAAATGATCGACCTTCAAGTCTTAATGCTCTTAAAATTCTGGTATAAATATAAACTGTAATGATATCATTGTTTCACAGAACTTATGTTGCATATTCCGGAATGAACCAACCAAGAACCTATCATCTAACAAATATGCAGGAGGAAGTGGAGATGGATTGGGCATACACTGAGAAGGCCGACTGGGGACATCACGCGTCAGGTCACTGCCTTGAGTGGAATCCCCATGCGAAGCGACGAGTTGGACGTCGGTGCCCAGGGTGACATGGAGGAGATCGTGCGAGGAGGAAATGAGAGCTTGTAGGCTGTCGTGGAACCAGGTTGAAAAGATCTCAGAGAACAGAGTGGAGTGGAGACGTGCTAGTGAAGCCCTATGTTCCACTAGGAACCCAAGGGACTAATAATAATAAATAATAATGTTGCATATTCCACTAGTCAATAATCGAGTGATGAACGAATTTAGTCACATTAATTCACCTGACTGAAAAGTATTTTCAAATCTGTGTAGTCTATTGGCATGTTAAAAGTTATAAATAATTTTTGGAATGATCTGATTTCATCATATAGATTTCATTCTGTTGTCATCTTAACGTTATCTTAGCTTCAGCAGTTGACAAAGAACAATATTACAATTAAAGGTTGTGAAGAATTTCAAGAAAACATGTTTACTACTCATAGAATACATCCATACTTTCTGAATTATCAATTTTACAAGGGAGATAATGAAACAAATGCTGAAAATCATGTCAGTCTTGTTTCTCAACTAACATTTGATAGGTAATTCAAACTAGGTGTTTTTCATTGTTTGTTTACAAATATTATGATAGGTCATTCAAACAAATACTTACAATATAAGTTGTGGTACGTCAATATTATGAAGGTTTTGGCTTCAGCCCGTAACAGGGTTGTAAGCGCGTACTCCTAAGGAGCCCCATAAAAAGGACAAAACAGCCGTCCAGTACTCTATCGTTTTCTATTTTTCCCCAAATGATTTCAGTCTATGATGACAACAGACTTAGAAACAAAATTTAAAAATGACAGGCAACATCAAGGCATTCATGAAGCAGCGTGTATCCCAATAGAGACTGGTCAATTCGGTCCAATCATCGACGGGATAATACAAGCAACATCATAAACGACCATCTGATCATGATATCTGCTGTATGCTTTTGAGAAAAATTAACATATCACTCCTGCAACTACTAAAGTGCTTTTAGTAGTATAGGTCGTCAATGTACTCTTATTTCGGATATTTGATCATCGATAACTCATAATAAAGGTTATCTGAATTCTTCACCGTTTAAATTATGCGGAAGCGATTAAGTAAGAGTTGATGAATCCACTTGGTCAGTTCTCTGAACTATAATACCATTCTGCATCAATAATCTTCCAGTGGTTCTGTCTTTCTTACCATCTTTACCTAGACGTCAATGATTGAAATAGTGTTGATGTTATGGCTTGTGAATCTCCGTCACTGACATATGGGTTGTTGTGTAAAGGCCTGCCACACAGTCAGTATTCTCAATTTTGATTATGATGATAGATAGTGGTTAGCAATGGAATCCAGTTCGCAATATTCTTCCCATTTGAGACTCGTCAACCGGATATACCTACTTCCCAGTGGGTGATGATGTACCCATCAAGACTCTAACTTTGGGCTGATTGCTTCAAACACTAAGGCTTTATTCATTAAGCCATCCCTTGTCAGATGGAGACAGTATACTTTGGATGTTATAGTTTGTGAGTTGGTGTCACTGATTAGATCCAAATTGATCGGTCACTATAAGCATTTGAGATCCTGTTCAATGGCTTCAATACTGCAGGCATTTTCAATTTTGATATTGCTAAATCTTTCTCTAAATGACCTTTAACCTAATTCTTTTCATTTCGAAAGAATAAAAATTCAGGAGCTGCCTGTATTGAAGCTATCAAACAGCTGTTCACATATTAATTCTAGCAGGTAACTAAAGACCTTTAACTGAACTTTATGATTTCCTTAGAAATGATCTTTTCAATCGTATTGTCAAAAGGTTGCAGAATCTTAAGCTAATCAACATCAAAGTGTCTAGCAGGCTGATTTTACTTCTTTCTAAAAAACTATTTTACACTTGTGAAGACAAACGATAGAAACGAAAAGAAAGTGAATCGTCTATTTATTCTTGTTTAAATTTATCACTTTCAATATATTTACCTGTTAAAAGGGTAGAAATTTATACACATTTTTCTTATTTCATATTTATAGACTTCATCGACTTGAAGAACTTTCAATGAAATGGCTTGGACCAATCAGTTTAGCTTTATACTTGACTGATAGAGAAGCAACACTTCTTGTAGAATTTGTTACCAACTCAAAAATTCTACAAAATCGAACCAATATTGGTTATCATATTGTATATGTAGATGGTGTAAGTGTAAAATTTTCAAGCTCGTAATTATTATCATTAATTTTCTGGACTGGTAAAAGTGTGGCTTTTTTTTAAAGTTGTAACTTGATCAAATCCAAGATGATCGGTTCCTGTTGATATTTTGCGTAAATGAGTAGTTTTTCACCTGCCTAACTGGGTTCTACAAACTTCATCAACCAGATCAGATGACCAGATTCCAAGGATATGAACCATTCAGCTCTAACGGCTGAACTTGTCCTGGTACACCACTGATAACCTCAGTGTTTAGATTACTCTAATTTGGATGGCAGGGGAAAATCTATTTATTATTATTATTTGTACCTTGAGTTCCCAATGGAACATACGGCTTCACTAGCACGTCTCCACTCAACTCCACTCCACTCCAATCTCTTCTCTGAAAACTCCTGAACCTCGCTTCACAACAGCCCACAACCTCTCATCTCTTCCTCACACACCATCTAGTACATGTCACCCTCAATTCGGACACCCAACTCCTCACCTACCATCCGAGTTCCACTCCAGAAACTCGCCTCACCTGGAGCGTGATGTTCCCAATCAGCCTTATCAGTGTGTGTATGCCCAATCCATCTCCACTTCCTTACAGTGTATATTTGTTGGGTAGTAGGTTGTTGGTTGGTTCTCTGACAGCCAGCCAACCAGCCAGCCAGAGTTCCTTCTTGCTTATTCTTATTATTCTGGCAATCCATCTGATGTTCAGTAAGGAGTCAGCGTATGTGGCAGTTGTTGATGAATGTCTGTAGTTGTTTGTTGGAAATGCTTTTCGTAACGCGTCATGTCTCTCAACTATTACATGGAAGCAGTGACATGACTGAATTTGTGTTGAAAATCTGGATGTTGTTCACGCCTTATGCTGAGTGTAGAAGATCTCCATACTGGTTTCAGGCAAATGAATGCCTGTCTTACTTTTCCTATTCTGACTTTGATATCCTCGTCTGTGTCGCCTGTAGTTGAGACAGTGCTGCCTAGATAGGTGAAGTAGGCTGCTTCCTTTAGGTTTTTCCCGTTGATGGTGATTAGAGATTGGGGAAAATCTATAGATCAGTGTAATTGGTTTCTAACTACTCATGGTGTTTCTCAAAAAACCAACATTTAAAAAATTATATCACTCCTTACTTTGACACACACTTCCTAAAAAGCAATAAACAGAGGAAGTATATTTCACTTACTTGACAAAATAATGGAGTATACCAAATATTTTCATCGTCACATATGACCACTAAGCATCTTGTTCAACTGAGCGTACTGTCAAGTTACCGTGATAGTGGATAGTTCACTGTGTAATTGAAACTGAAAGGGATCAAGTTAGTATTTTAAAACTTCATCATGCTTTTACAAAGTACTTCTTTTAAAGTTGTCGGCCGTTCAAATAACTTCCTTACTGACGAAATAAAGTTTAAAATCTTCATTTCCAGGTCTATTTGTTTAGAATGATATTCATTTATGATTTCAAGAAAAAAGACTGAAGTATTTGTGATGGAATTTTTGAGGTACTGAGGTTACAGCAGATTCGATAGAATACCTGCATATTTTTTAATTAAACTATGAGGTTATTGAAAACAGATTTTTATCACAGAAAGATTATTTTAAGATGGTGAGTTTCTTCCATCTAATTTCAACCATTCAACTGTTTCATCTAAAGTACAAATTTATAGTCTACAAAGCACTTTTGTTCTCATGGTGTGCTTTTCAAAATCACTTTCTTAGACACTTCCTAGCTTTGTAAAGCAGACTGCTTTATACTATAGCAGTAGCTCAAAGTCACTCTGCATACCATAAGAATTGAGATCTTGAGTTTGATTGTGAGAAAGGTGAACGTAGCTGGATTTCAATGTAGCACACAGAACTACTTTCAAAAGGTTGCTGTGATACACCGGTGATGATTTCTAGCATGACACTGCAACGTTTACCAACAGAAACTCTGTGTAAAAAATATGTTCCCTCCAGGTGTTTCGTCCAGTGAATCTCAGCTTCTTCAACAGAAACGCACACTACGATGATACCAGTGATATTATAATGACTTAATCAGAGTCGGTATTGGATATCCGCCTGTGTGTTCGTAACCCTCGCCCTATGGTCAGAACATTTCCCTAAGCCTCCAACTTTGTCACATTCTGAAAACACCTTTAAAATCCTTATCTATCCAAACCTCAGTAGGCACAGTGGGGCTCAAATCAGGAACCCGGTGGTTGAAATCATTTCACATAACCAATGAGACACTTTGGATAGTGAGCTTTCTCATATTATCAGTCAGTATTTTTTAAAAGTTATTTATCCTCTCTTTCTTGTATGAATTCTACTTTTTTTCTCCCAAAAAAAACAGAAATTTTATCCTATAAATACATTGCGTAATATTGCAATCAGATATTCAATAACAGAGTTCATCTTTCATATTGATATCGACTTTATACCTCAAGCAAATATGATTCAGCGTGCTGAAACTTCTATTCTCGAACACTTAATTCAAGTAAGTAATGATTGTTTTTAATAATTATTATTTATTATTATTATTAGTCCCTTGGGTTCCTAGTGGAACATAGGGCTTCACTAGCACGTCTCCACTCCACTCCGTTCTCTGAGATCTTTTGAACTTGGCTCCACGACAGCCCACAAGCTCTCATTTCCTCCTCGCACGACCTCCTCCATGTCACCCTGGGCACTGACGTCCAACTCGTCGGTTCCCATGGGGATTCCACTCGAGGCAGTGACCTGACGCGTAATGTCCTCAGTCGGCCTTCTCAGTGTATGCCCAATCCATCTCCACTTCCTTCCAGTGCATATTTGTTGAGTGATAGGTTCTTGGTTGGTTCGTTCCGAGAGCTCCTTGTTGCTTATTCTCATTATTCTGGCCATCTGATCTTCAGTAAGGAGCCAGCGTAGGCGGCAGTTGTTGATGAATGTCTGTAAATGATTGTTTTTAATGCTGTTCTATAAATAGCAACAGTCTGAAAGAAGAATATTCTTTCCAGTAAATTCTCCCATTAAGTTCTACTATTATAAAATACATTTGGACAGTGAAAAAATAAGCCATGTTAGGGACAGGTATTTATTCACTCACATTTAGTGATTGTAAGGAAAATGATTAATCTTTTTTAAACTAGTCGATATTGAGGTGATACATACAGATGAATGATGTGATTGTAAACAAAAAGATAACGAATAAGATGATTGAAGTGGCCTTTAGTTTGCTGAAAACCACGGGAGAAGTTTTAATTGGACATGTTCTTTCTGAATGCAGAGTCCAGGCTTGCTCAATTTTATTGCGACAACCTCCGCTATATTTAGAAGGCGTTGGCAAGCTATATATGATATTGTTTTTGGAACACGATGAATGAAATTTAAAGCTTTACTAGCATTTATAGGGTGCCCGATGTCAGCTAGATACGCTAAGGCTGAACTTTTCAACACTTTGACTTCAGCCTTTCCAAACCAATCTGAAAAATGCTCTTTTATCCAAAGACGCATCTGACTAATCGTATGCCTTATGTAACTAGTTCTGCAGGAATAGTGAAACTGATATATACGAGATTATGTAGGCTATCCTCTAGTCTCGGACTGAACATTGGCCGAATACTGAATGATATGCAAAGCCGGCCTGCATAAAACGTCTTATTGACTGCTCTAGCGTTGTGATAGAATGTCACTTGGAACATCTCCCTTGAATTGTAAGCGCAAAAAGCGAAGGCTTCTTCTCCACAGTCATCAGTTCTTTGTTTAGGACTACCGTGGTTGATGTTAGTTTCGATGAAATTATCCGGATATTCGCTTTCACTTAGAATTTCACGGATACACAGTGGCGTTTTTTCTAAAAAACTCCTTGGAATAAATAGATCTTACCCTAAAAGCCGGACATTTGATTATATTACGTTTGAACTTCATCGTTACGAAGCTGCGAGAGGGCGTACATTATGCCTTAGACGTTAGACAGTGGTGAGTTCAACAACAGACTATCTTCACTGGTGATATTGAATTCCTGGTATTGTAATTTATGTCGTCTATACAGGAATAGCTGTAAAAATAACTCGTTTGATATTAGCACAGAACTGTTTTGATGTTCCTGTTAACTGCTTTTCGATCTACACATTTGTTCACTACCTGCTGATTACCATTCACACTAGTGACTATATACCAGTAAACTAGAAGAATAAATGCCCTATTTAGATAAAGGAGAGCTTTTTGTTCACATCAAAGCAAAAGTGGAACACTATGTACTGTATAACTGCACACTAGATTGCTAATTATCAGCTAATATAAGGTTCTGAACCTTCATCAACTGAATTGGACTGAACATGTATTGTGCATACCAGTCCACAGTCTACATCGACACGTGATGCTAAGAGAAGATGAATTAGGTTGGAAGAAGTTTCAGGGTAGCCAGATCAAGATATGATACTAGACCAGAAAGTCCATGACTCTTGGTCTGAGTGTTGTGTGGAGATGTAGACTTACTGAAGAGGGTTCTCGAGACGATAAGAAACAGTGGTTGAGGACTCGTGGTGACAAGGGTGAAAATCAGTCACACTGAAGCAGATTTATTCACTCCTTGACATCTTCTGAAACCTGAATTATTGCCAGGTCATGTGCTGATACTGACTGACTACAAAGTTGCTTCAGATTACGAAACTCACAACTCCTTCAGTTATCACACTCCTCAGAAATATTCAACCACAATATAAAACTCTGATAAATACTCATCTCAACGATACACAATTCACTTACCTTTCACATCCTCACTCATCTAACTAAAACAAAACTTTACTCTAGTATACACTGTGTGAGTAATCATCACCAAAAACAATCCCTACAACTAAGAAGACACAGACAACTTCAAAGTTCATTCCACCAACTGCTGAAATACTCAATCAAATTCGCATATTTCCACCACAAAGTTAATTTCTCACAGAATACAAAAACTTAATTGATTATCTCAGCGCTTCATAGATTCATCTTTCATGTCACTCGAAGACGCCAAACAAGTGCTTGTTATTTTTAGGAGACCAACCAGTTTGCTATTCCATTACAAAACCATTATTCATTTGCATCCTCTATCATTGCATTGATTTCAATAAAGTTGAGATGAGATGAGATGAGATCAGGTGAGGTGAGGTGAAGGATACTATGCAAAATCGACAAGTCGATTAGTCAAGTTGTAAATCTTCATCGATTCACATAGCTGCAACATATTCTCTACATGCCCATCAACTACCTACTTCGACTTGTCATGTTGAGGAAAGTTGTTTTAGATGAGAATGAAGTTCACTGTGTTCAGTGTGTTCAGTGTGTTCAGATGTGATACTAGTCGATGATATCGATGATTCTAGGTCTGAGTGTTGTGTGGAAGTTTAGACTTCATGAAGAGGATCGTGGTGACGATAAGAATCATTAGTTGAGGATTGTTGGTGATATGGTTGAAAGTTGGTCACAATGCTGTAGATTTACTCACCCCTAGACATTCTGTGCAGCATTAATATTTGCACTGACTGTTATCTAGTGATTGTTTATTCTCTCATACGACCCGTGTCTACTTTGGTGTCACTTCTTTTCTATTCATTTCAAACAATCTGATCGTACATACACACATTTACTTGTCAAGTCAATATATATTAAACCGAGGACTGGGAGGGGGGATATATACTACAATTAACACAATAGGAGATTAAAATTAAGAAAGATGAGAACAAACAGGAAGTGACCTAGTTGATCCTAATCTTGGTAAGAAAACGAAGTTTACCAGGGTAGATGTAGTGTAAGAGTAAACTGTTTTTGTACACATAAAGGTGGTTTAAATTTGTGTATAGCTATGGCTTCCACAAATCTCAGAATACGACCCTGACTGTTTCTATATAAAACTTTGAAAGCTGTTTGAACATTAACTTTGTGACCTATTTCTATAATATGTCTAGCTATAGATGAAAAGGGTCATCTCCCACCAGCATTTATCACTGTTTCACACTCCATTTGTTTCCGAAGCCATTTAGACACATGTTCTCCCATACTCAACTGCATGACTCGATTACTCCTCCCTATGTATATGTGACCACACACACACACACACACATGTAAGTTAGTGAACACAATGGGATGTGACGTAATCACTGATGCAGTGTTTAGGTTTTTGGTGAAGCATGTGTTTTGTTTTCTCCACAATGGTAAGATTCGCCACGTAATACGTTTTCATAATGACTGATGTCAGCCTACGTCTCAAAATGATATTATTTAGCTCCCCTCTGTATGGTAGAGTGATATGGACACTTTTCTTAAGAACCGTGTATAGACTTGGCTTTGGTGCTACTTGACCTCTACAACGGTTTATAAACTTCGTCGGATATCCATTTTCCATAAGTGCTTTGGTCAGCAATTTGATGTCTTCATCCATCGCATCTGGTGTACTGATACGATAGATCCTATTACACAGGCATTTTACTAGACCTTGTTTGTATTGGATTGGATTTTAATTCCATATTGTGTTAATTGTTGTATTTATCCCCCCTCCCAGTCCTCGGCTTAATATATATTGACTTGACAAGTAAATATATGATCAGATTGTTCGAAATGTGTTGCTCAACTATATCACATTACTCAGATAAACTTTGTCTTCTAATTGCGCTATCGAAAATCATGAATTCGTTTTAAAAGATTTCAGTTTTTATCCAAGATACAAATCTAGGCAAACTCCTTTACTGAAATAAATAATATCTCATAGTATAGAGTTTTGGGCCGCCATGATAAAATAAACCAGTTTACTGGTGAGTAACAAAACCAGGATGCAAAATGAACATGTTTGTGCTACAGAAGACATTTTGTTAAGATAAACTTGCATATGGTGCTATATGTTAGTTATTGCAACATAATTAATAGTATTCGGTCAGCACTCAGGACTGTAACACTGAGTAATGCGGTTTCAAATCCCACAGGGGGGGGATGGCATAAGTTTCCTTTGTGGGGGAGGATTTCGTGCTGATTGCCCCCAGACAACTCAAATGAGACGATTATTGTCCAGTAGGTCAACATTAAGTCATCAAAGCGGAATGTTCCAGGGTGAAATAACAACGAGCTGAAAGATGAATTTTGTTCAGTCACTCTGCATAAGAATATCTGCAGCAGAGAACACAATATAACCAAGACCATCCACCTGAGCTACAAATATTCTCCATCATTTCAAGATCATACGAGCGTGACACGCTTCACATTGTTAGAAGATAGGAAGACTTCTCCAAAACGCAAGCTTCCACAAAAGAACAACTATTCTTTCTCTATGAGTGCCTACGTCAGCATGTTCTACCGAAGAGTGTTAGATATAGACCACCGATTAACTGCCCAATGGGATGGAAAATAGCTGAACAAAGTGGAAGGCAAATGGTACAATTATTGATCATAGATGCACACCACCGGATCCGGAAATACTAATCAGTGATTAACAATCAAAAAGAAAACCAGAAAGCATACGGCACAACACATGACAACATTGACAACTGCAATTGAAAAGTCAAGTAGACGATACAAAGAACAACGAAGAAAAGTCCTCAGGAAAAAGCTACTCAAAATCTCAAAAGCATCTACAACCGAAGAAACAAATGACTGCGTTATCAACTTATCAAAACAACCACTAACGAAAATGGAAGAACTTCTCCTTCAAAAAGGATTGAATTACAACACAAGAGATGCCTCGAAACCAAAATTCTTTGCGGCATTAGAATCCTGACTTAAAACATCAGGATTAAATGAGGTCACTCAACAAGAAATACGGCAAACAATCGTACCACTAACAAGGCAGAGGAGACATCATACTCAAATGAACACTCAAGAACAGAAAACAATAAAAAGACTGAAAAATAGGAAAGATATCGTTATACTTCCAGCAGACAAAGGGTGCACTACAGTAGTCATGGACAAAGAAGACTATATCAAGAAGGCAGAAGAATTACTCAAAGACAAAAATGTATGTCAACCACTTGAAACCAACCCTATCCAAAAGTTCGACAACCAGACCAATAAAACCTTGAACAAACTCTTTAAAGCAGAAGAAATAACAAAGCAAGACAAATGGCGTATGAAATCGAATGAACCTATCCTTACTCGAATTTACGGTAGACCGAAACTACACAAACCCGATATCCCTCTACGACCAATAGTTTCACTTCCGGGAACCCCAACATAACATATCAGCAGAACTTTCGAGAAAACTGAAACACCTCGTTCAGTCATGCGGACATTCGATCAAGTCACCAACAGATTTCTTAGAAAAGATCAAAAACGATCAAAACGATGAATTAATGGTATCCTTCGATGTTACAGCACTATACACATCCATCGAACCTCAATTGGCCAAGGAAACGATATCCCTCCTTATCAATGAAGACAAAAACCTTTCACAACGCACAATACTCAAATGTTCAAGTCTGATAGAACTCATTGACCTTTGTATGACAACATACTTTCAATTCGACGACAAGATATACAAACACATGAAACGAACTCCAATGGGATCAGCGATATACGGATTAATAGCAGAAGCAATGATGCAGAGACTGGAGACCATTATTCTACCTGTGATCAAGCCGAACATTTGGATTCGCTATGTGGATAACACTTTTGTCATCATTACAGTAGATGATATGGAAAACACTCACAGTTTGATCAACAACGTTTTCAATGACATGAAATTCACAATGGAGAAAGAGTCAAACAACCAACTACCATTCCTCGATGTTATGGTCAATACAACAAATATGGGGAAGCTGGAAACCAGAGTGTACACGAAGCCAACACACACTGACCAAATCCTCAACTACAATAGCAACAACCTAACAACGCACAAGATCAGTTGCGTGCAGACTGTATTCAAAGGAAGGAGAACACACTGCAGTACAACAACTTGAAGGAGAAATGAAGAAAATTACTTGATGTCCATGGTAAAGAAGAATGGCTACCCACGAAACTTTATCACAACATGCCCATCACGTACATCATCAACTACAATGTCATCGACAGAAATCGGTGAACGCATCATTCCACCATACATAAAGAATGTATCAGAAATGATGACAAGATTACTGAAACCACTTGGAATTGGTGTGGCTGGCTCATGAACCAACAAATTCCCTCCAAACACCATTATGCAGACCGAAGGATGCGACAAGCAGAGAAGACAAACTGAATATCATTTACGAAATCAACTGCAATAACTGTAGTCAACACTACATTGGACGAAGTGGTCACCCTCTTCGCCTTCACCTACATGAGCACCAATTGGCAATTAAACGCCACGACATTTCATCACTCATTTCAATGCACGTGGATAATTGTGGACATGAATTCAAATTGGACAATGAAGAAATTTTGACGGAGAGAGGAAACACAGAGAATATCAGAGAATTCCTAGAAGCTTGGCATTCAGGTCAATCAGTCAGCAATCAACAGATGTATAGACATAGACGCAATGTGTCAACGAATGAGAATAATGATAAAGGATGTAGAGGTCGGAGGTGAAGCAGAGGAACAAGCAACAGGAAAGTCTATACAACCAATGACACAACAAATTCAAAGGTCCCACATAGTGCATCAGGTGGTCAGAAGCAAGTCACCGTGACAGAATACTGTGGTGTTGACTATGGCGATTCATCGCATAACGAAGAACTTCATCATCCCTATCAACTACATCTAGGTTACTCTGACTTGAGCTGGACACAAGATATCAGGGTATCATCTACAAAACTCAGGGTCGTTGACAAACAGAACCAAAAGTGTATGATAACACTGCCTGCTCAAAAAAGCCTCAGTGAATTTGGTTTATTGAAATTGGCAAATTTGTGTAACCATTTCACTGTTAAAAGTCTCATGGCAACTGGTTGAGATGATGTTAATGCACTTCTTCAAATTTGGTGATGTAGAGTATTGGAATTCTACATTTAAAGCTATGAGAAAGGTTTTTGTGAATACTTATCAATTTTTCTAAGCGGGGTGGGAGAGGTTCATCAAATACTCTTCTTCAAAATGTTACCAAGTCATTTCCCTCATTTTCAGCTGCAATTCAGTTACTTCAGACTACTCCAAAGCACAGATTCAGCAGAAGAGTTTTGGGGAATAATTTCCCACATGCCAGTGAAATGTTACTAGCCAATCAGAAGAGATCATTGTACTATCAATGTTTATTTCGAAGGGAGATGTGTTATAGCGTGGAGAAGAATTAACAAAATCTTCATAAGAAACGACATATACCTAAAGCCCTTTACAACTTATCGCTTTGTTTCGAAGCTTCAGGGGAAAAATACATGAATCAACGTGTAAGTATCAGATTGGTTGAAGAGATGAAAAATAATCAGGATAATCGAAACCAGAATAGCCTGAAAATAACCAAGGCCATTGTAGTATATATCAAGCTTGTGACTTGTATATATTGTGGATGTTACCACTGACGTAGTAAATACACCTTCTGTTATATACCCACCTTTTTTCGATTTCGGAGGAAGTTAGCAATCATAAAGGGTGAAATCTGAAGGTTATTGTACAAACGTCCTAAAAAATAACAGTCACCACAAGTTTATAACAAGTGACAATACACGGGCTTTATAAAAGTAGTAACTGAAGCATATAAGGGTATGTAATCTCCTCCTGATGCTTTGTAAGTAAATGGACACAGAATATGATTCCGGTCTTAGAAAGCAAATTAAACATCCCAGGTTATCTAATGTTTAATGTAGCTAGTTTTTAGAGGCCCCATGATATCTACTAGTATGCAATAAAGACCATCCTGGATGAATACATATGTCTATATAAATATACCTTACTTCCTGAGGAAAGTAATTAAAATGCCATTAATCAACAATTGAATTTTCTTTTCAGAATAATAAATCACAAAATATTTGCTTAGTAGTACCTGCATTTGAAACTTTCAAAAATCATTTATCACTGCCAGAAACAAAAGAAAATTTATTAAAATCATGGGAAATTGGTGAAATTCTACCATTCAGGCATGAAATATGGTCAGCTGGTCATATGTCAACTAATTACTCTCATTGGAAATCTGTAAATATGAACTATGAAGTAAGTTGACAGAGGATAAGTGTATTTTTTTTCTATTGAAATGTTTACTTCTATGCAATTGTTTACACTCATATTTGAATCCCTTCAAAAGTGGAATATAGGGCTTCAGTAGCACGTCTCCACTCCACTCCACTATCTTCTCTGCAGTCTTTTCAGTTTAGCTCCACGACAGCCCACAACCTCTCATCTCTTCCTCACACACCATCTAGTACATGTCACCCTCAATTCGGACACCCAACTCCTCACCTACCATCCGAGTTCCACTCCAGAAACTCGCCTCACCTGGAGCGTGATGTTCCCAATCAGCCTTATCAGTGTGTGTATGCCCAATCCATCTCCACTTCCTTACAGTGTATATTTGTTGGGTAGTAGGTTGTTGGTTGGTTCGCTGACAGCCAGCCAACCAGTCAGTCAGCCAGCTAGCCAGTCAGCCAGCCAGCCAGAGTTCCTTCTTGCTTATTCTTATTATTCTGGCAATCCATCTGATGTTCAGTAAGGAGCCAGCGTATGTGGCAGTTGTTGATGAATGTCTGTAGTTGTCTGTTGGAAATGCTTTTCGTAACGCGTCATGTCTCTCAACTATCACATGGAAGCACTGACTTGACTGGCTGGCTTTTACGTCCTCGTCTATGCCGCCCAAATAGTCAAATAGATGACATTTATGCCTACATTATTTTCATTTGTGAACAAGGTTGTTTGATTTGCCTCCATTTACTACTTAGACATGCGACAATTTATGCAGGCTTTGTTCTGTAATGGAGCGGCTCCTAAAAGGTAGCAGTACATCAGAAATTTACTCTTATATCGAGTCCGTATTTTATAAATGTATTTACTTTATCATCCATTTACCTAATGTTCAACTTATTCAACTCTATTATGTCAAATTTTGATGGATATCAGAAATACGGTCTGATTCATTATAATAACCTATAGGTATTTACTACAGAACTAAGTGAATATTTGTTGTACTACCATAGTGAGCGTTACTGATAAGAATGGATATAAGTAGTATATGTTGAGAGGGTGGCAGAAATCATAGGGAATTACCAGCAATGGGTAAGTATTCTGCCAAGCGAAATGCAAAAGACAAGGCAGGCGTATGAAGAACAAATCAAGAAAGAAGCAGAAGAGGAAATGAAGCATATTTTGCAAATGACGGTTTTAGTGTAAGGTGTACCACATTTAATGACTACTGTCCCACTTGTTGACAATCGACATTCTATTCTGCATACCTTTCTTTGGCTTTTTTCACAACTTGTTAATAACGAATCCTTCCGGGGTAATGAAAGATAAACGCAATCCTGCTAAGCAGGTTGGTTACCTTATACGAAAAACTGCAGTGGATAATACTGAATGACAAGAGCTAAATAATAGAAGTATACAACTTGGGCACTGTGGTGAAATATAATTCCATATTAGATTCGTTTATTTGATGCATAACACACAGTGAGTGGTCTAGTATTATTTACTTGACGACAATGATTCAAGCAAAAATTATCATTGTTCGTAATCACATCAATGTGTAATCGCACAGCACTTACAATGTCTGACTTTTATACACCCTATCACCTGATAATCTTTGTTTCTGTTAGTAGTCAAATTTACCATATCTCCAGTATAGGTGTTGCATCATTCCCATTACATGTACTGGGTTTAGTTTCGATGACCAAGCGTTAATAATTATCCTCCACAATTTATGAAAAAATTCGTAAGAAAATATAAGACAAAAATATTAACAGTAATATGAATACAAATAATGGTGATAACACGAGTAGAAATAAGCTCAAAGCCTCCATTGTGTTACCCTATAAGCAAGGTACATAAGAAACTTAACGTAGAATCATCATCAGAGCTGGAATTAGGGTGGTACTTAAAGTTACCAACTCACTCAGAGATAAACTTTGTCGGCTGGCTTAAGAATCCTATAGATCCAATTCAGCAAAATAATCTAGTCTATCAATGATTTTGAGATCAGGTACATAGGTGAAACTAGCCAGTTGGGGTCAGTAAGACTAGTAGAACATAAGAATTTAGCTAAATAAACAATGTCAGAAATAATGGAGAATATTTGCAGCTCAGGTGGATAGTCTTGACTGTATTGTGTTCTTTGAGCTGGCTGCACAGTTTAATCACGAAGCTTTCATCGTCTTTCCGGACGACACCATCAGCACTAACTTCAGCATGAAGTAAACTGTCAATATCTCTCCATCAGTGAGTGATTTACTGACTTGCCTTGACCACGTGGTCTGTGGTTGGTTGTTTACTTCGATTGTTGTGTCATTGGTTGTATAGACTTTCCTGTTGCTTGTTCCTCTGCTTCACCTCCGACCTCTCCATCCTTTATCATTCTTCTCATTCGTTGACACATTGCGTCTATGTCTATACATCTGTTGATTGCTGACTGATTGACCTGTATGCCAAGCTTCTAGGAATTCTCTGATATTCTCTGTGTTTCCTCTCTCCGTCAAAATTTCTTCATTGTCCAATTTGAATTCATGTCCACAATTATCCACGTGCATTGAAATGAGTGATGAAATGTCGTGGCGTTTAATTGCCAATTGGTGCTCATGTAGGTGAAGGCGAAGAGGGTGACCACTTCGTCCAATGTAGTGTTGACTACAGTTATTGCAGTTGATTTCGTAAATGATATTCAGTTTGTCTTCTCTGCTTGTCGCATCCTTCGGTCTGCATAATGGTGTTTGGAGGGAATTTGTTGGTTCATGAGCCAGCCACACCAATTCCAAGTGGTTTCAGTAATCTTGTCATCATTTCTGATACATTCTTTATGTATGGTGGAATGATGCGTTCACCGATTTCTGTCGATGACATTGTAGTTGATGATGTACGTGATGGGCATGTTGTGATAAAGTTTCGTGGGTAGCCATTCTTCTTTACCATGGACATCAAGTAATTTTCTTCATTTCTCCTTCAAGTTGTTGTACTGCAGTGTGTTCTCCTTCCTTTGAATACAGTCTGCACGCAACTGATCTTGTGCGTTGTTAGGTTGTTGCTATTGTAGTTGAGGATTTGGTCAGTGTGTGTTGGCTTCGTGTACACTCTGGTTTCCAGCTTCCCCATATTTGTTGTATTGACCATAACATCGAGGAATGGTAGTTGGTTGTTTGACTCTTTCTCCATTGTGAATTTCATGTCATTGAAAACGTTGTTGATCAAACTGTGAGTGTTTTCCATATCATCTACTGTAATGATGACAAAAGTGTTATCCACATAGCGAATCCAAATGTTCGGCTTGATCACAGGTAGAATAATGGTCTCCAGTCTCTGCATCATTGCTTCTGCTATTAATCCGTATATCGCTGATCCCATTGGAGTTCGTTTCATGTGTTTGTATATCTTGTCGTCGAATTGAAAGTATGTTGTCATACAAAGGTCAATGAGTTCTATCAGACTTGAACATTTGAGTATTGTGCGTTGTGAAAGGTTTTTGTCTTCATTGATAAGGAGGGATATCGTTTCCTTGGCCAATTGAGGTTCGATGGATGTGTATAGTGCTGTAACATCGAAGGATACCATTAATTCATCGTTTTGATCGTTTTTGATCTTTTCTAAGAAATCTGTTGGTGACTTGATCGAATGTCCGCATGACTGAAAGATGTTCAGACCCAATTAGTGCAATCCACATATGCATTAACACAGGACCGCACAATACGGTGGGATAAAACTACTGCACTTAAGTTCAATACAATTAGGTAGAGAGAGAGAGGAACAGTGATTACTGAATTTTTGTTCATCGAATCAACCTACAACCAACACATGTAATAGGAATGACGCAACACCTATACGGGAGATATGGAAAATGTGACTACCAATAAAGGAAAGAATATTAGGTGATAGGGTATATTAAAATTAGATTACGAATATGTTGTGATGTGATTACAAGCGATGATAATTTCTGCTCAAAACGTCACCCAGTGTGTGTATACTGGTTGTATCAAATCAACAAATCTTATGTGGCGACGAGATTGGTCACAGAATCTTTGTTCACTGAATCAACATACCTGACACATATGATGAAAATGATCTATGGTATATTGCAGATCTATGGAAACGTTTTCATCACCATTGAAACAGAACGATGAAGAACTATTAAAGTGAAGCTTGAAAGTTGTATACTTACTTGTATGTGGTTATTAATAGTAAATTGTACTTGAAACCTCCTCCTCATCGTTTACTATATCAAGCAAACAATCTAACATGGAAGAAAAGTTTTTATTGCATAGGGAAGTAATAAAAATGCCTCTCCCCCCCCCCCCCCTAATAAGGCATACAAGAAAATAAAGAGCAATTCAGCAAAAAAAAGTTTATTTATGCGATCTTACTTTCAAAACTGTAAATAATTACAGCTGTTAGAAGGAAGGCAGTGAAAATAACCTCTTTACTGAAGTATTCTGTGATAATGAAGAGCTTCCCAAGAGAAGTTTACACAAAACATTAGTTGTATAGGTCTAAGTGTAGTTAAGTATACGTACTTGAAAGCTGTTTGTTCTCAGTGGTTCAGACTACTTTTACGATTTCTCTAAGAGTAAAAAAGCTAAATGATACCTGACGATTACTTGTCTCTCCTACCCGACGTCGCTGTATAAATAAGCAAATGAAACGACACTTTCAATCATAATCACTGACTCAAGGTTTTGCAAAATATTTAGAAAATCACTTATTTTCTGGTTGGCATTCATCATGGACTGACATCAGTTGAAGAAACATTGGAAATCTTGAAGAACTATAGAGATGTCTTATCCTAGTGTAGGACTCCACAAGGGTGAGCATCTATAACCTCATTTACTTGTGGATCGAACCCAGGATCTTCAGGTTCTACTACCGGCACGTGACCACTGAGCAACTACGTCAGAATTCATTGGTCTGTATTTCCTACTTCTGTCAGTTCTGTTGGTATTCTATGCATTGAGTAAAATTCAGTGGGTTGAGTAATATGAAATTGTTAAAAAAGATTTATCCTTTGAGTTCCTAGTAGAAGGTAG